GGATGGGGGAGGACACGGGAGTGCAGCGAGGAGGAAGGGGGGAGTGCGGGCAGAGGCAGCAGTGGGAGGAGGGGGAATGCAGGGAAGGGGGAGTGCAGCGATGGGGGAGTGCGGGGAGGTGGGGGAGGGAGTGTGTGTGGAGTTGATATAAGCGGTGACCAGGAGGTTAGGCTGGCCGTTACGGGCCAGGCAAAGATGCTCGGTGAAACAGTCACCTAGTCCACATTTGGTTTCACCGATATAAAGAAGACCACGTCAGGAGCAGCAGAAGCAGTAGACTAGGTAGGTTGTAGGACATGCACGTGAAGCTCTGTCTCACCTGGAAGGAGGTGAGGGAGCTGGTGTATGGGCAGGTGTTGCATCTTTTACAGTAACAGGGGAAGGTACGGGGGTGGGGGGAGGAGGTGGTTGAAGTGGTTGGTGGGGAACGTGGCATGAACTAAGGAGTGGTGAAGGGAATGGTCCTTCCAAAAGGCAGAGAAGGGTGGGGAATGGAAGATGTTCCAGGTAGTGGGGTCTAATTGGAATTGGAAGAAGTGTTTGAGGATGATACGTTGGATGCAGAAGCTGGTGGGATGGGAAGTGAGGACAAGGGGGCCCCCCATCTTTATTATTTTGGGGGCAGGGGTGGTTTAGAACTGTGAAGCGGGGAATGGAGGCAGCACAGTGGAGGGCTGTTTGGATGACAGATGGGGGAAAAGAACTTTGTTTGAAACTGGAGGACATCCGGATGCTTGGAAGTGGAACATCTCCTCATCAGAGAAGATGCGATGGAGATGGAGGAATTGGGAAGTGGGATGGAATCTTTGCAGACTACAGGGTGAGAAGAGGTGTCATTGAGTTAGCTACAGAAGTCTGTGGGTTTATAGTAAATGTTGATCTGTAAACTGTTGCCAGAAATGGAAACTCAGAAGTCAAGAAAGGGGAGGGAGGTGTCTGAGATAGACCAAGTGAATTTGAGGGAGAGGTGGAAGTTGTTCGCAAAGTCAATGAACTGCTCCAGTTCAGCCTGGGTGCAGGATGCAGCACCAATGCAGCCATTGATGTAACGGCAGAAGAGTTAGGGAACAGTACTGGTGTACGTACTGAAGAAGGACTGTTCAACATAACCAACAAAGAGGCAGGCATAGCTGGGGAGGAAAGAACTGAGGGCCTGTTAGCTGTCCTTGTGGGATGTGGATGTCCATAGTAAAAATGAAGTGCTGGGGCCAGGGAACTGGAAGTTTCCGAAGAGATGGAGGGTGATACTTGTGTCCTGGATGTAGGTGGGGAGTGCCTGGACCTAGGAGGAGAGAATGGCGTCTGGGCAGGGACAGATGAGTTCGGTGGGGCAGGAGCATGCAGAGATGCTGGGTCGGCGGGGTATTTGGACTTGTGGATCTTGTGGAAGGGGTAGAACTGGGCAGTGTGGGGCTGGAGTCAATAAGGCTGGAGGCGGTGGAGGAGAGATCACCGGAAGCGACAAGGGCATGGACAGTGTGGGAGACAGTTGCTTGATGAGCCATGGTGGGGTTGTGGTCAAGCGGGAAGTAGGACATGGTGTCGGAGAGTTGGTGTCTGGCCTCTGCGACATAGAAGTTCGCCCTCCAGACTACCACTTCCCCACCGAGTTTGATAGTGAAACAGGGATTGTTGCGGAGAGAGTGGAATGCTGCACGTTTGGAGGGGCAAGAGGTTGGAGTGGGTGAGTGGGGTGGAGAAATTGAGGCAGTCGATATCACGTTGGCAGTTAGCAAATTTCTTTTCCTAAGGGACATTTTTAAACTGGATGGGTTTTCTGAGAATCGACAATGGATTCCTGGTCGTCATTAGACTCTTAATTCCAGATTTCACCACCTGCCGTGGCAAGATTCAAATCTAGATCACCAGAACATTACCTGGGTGTCTAGATTAACAGTTCAGCGATAATACCACTAGGTTGTTGCCTCCCCGCATCAGTTACAGTACAGCCAAATGCACAGCTAAATTCCTTCTGCTCTGTTTTGATTTGTGCCGGTTCCAATGGCAACTCACATTATCTAGGCTTCCAACATAAAGAAAGAACATAATTGCAAGTGACTACAGGGCAGGACTGTGCAGTGTTTCAAATCACTCTTTCAGGACAGGTAGAGGAAAATATTAAGACAAAGGAGAGAAGACAGTTAACAGACCAAGGAGTGGATAACGATCTAGCTGGGAAAGTGAATAGCTGTTAATGGACACTGTTAGTGACTAACAATAGGTAGTGTGTAATGGCAAATTATGTGAATAACAAGGCCTGGTGTGTGGGATTGGGGTCTAGGGTATGGGGAGTTCAGGCCCTAAGTTATTGAACTCGATATTGAGTCTGGAGGGCTGCAGGGTCCCCAAGTGAAAAATGAGGTGTTGTTCTTCCAGCTTGTGCTGAGTTTCACTGGAACACTGCTGGAAAACTCCTTTGCTATTGTAATTGGCACCTTCATTCAAATACTGAAGACTGGAATTTCATTCAAAATTATGCAATTAATGTTGCACAGCATAACTGAGAGCAGACCTTGTTGAGTGGTCCTGTGACAAAATGCTGAAATTTACAGCAAAGTGATCTTGTGTCTGCTGTCAATTCCCAAATGAGTTTGCAGCTTAGTTCAGATGATGGTGGATGGTGGGTGGTGGGTGGTGGGTGGTGGGGCGTTGGTGCAGTTGGGGAAGAAGTGGTGACATTAAGCTGAAAAGCATGATATCTCCATATGAGGAAAGAAATGGAGATGAGGGAGGAGTGTTAAACAGGACCAAACTATTGAGCCCGATGTTACGAAGTAACACTAATGAACAGTCACCCTGAGACAGAGATGTTGGCCAGCGAATAGGATGGTGTGTTAAAGTGGCGGGCAACTGGAAGCGCAGGGTCTTTCCTGCAAGAAGGACACAGATGTTCTGCAAAGCGGTTATCCAGTATACGCATCGTTTCCCCAGTGTAGAGAAGACCATGTTGTGAACAGTGAAAGCAATAGACAAGACTGTGTGAAGTGCAGGTCAAGTGCTGCTTTGCCTGTCTATCCAACTGTCTTCTCTCTCTTTAGGCTCTATTCCCACCTATCATTTACTCTTTACCCACTTCGCCCACCCTATCTTCTGCACATCAACTGACATTTTCCTAGCCACCATCAGTTCTGAGGAAGGGTCACCAGATCCAAAATGTTAACTCCTGATTCTTCTTCACAGATGCTGCCAGACCTGCTGATATTCAAATCCCACTTGCCCTGGAGTAGTGTGATAACATGTCCAAACAGGTTGCTTAAAAGAGGCAATTTCTTCTCCAGTGTGCTGTTGGCTTCTGAACAGGGAAAGCGTCAAGAAGGTAGTTGGAAACTGAAGTACACACTAAAAATTTACAATAAAACCCTTCTAAATCTCAGAATGTCTTTTGCTGCCCATAAAAACATACAGATACCAGTGTATGAAACAGTCACAAGAAACTCCAAAAAGCTATTCAAACCATAATGACTGAATATCATGGCACTAACAGATTCAACTTTATTTCTACCCTGGTTGATATGATTGTCAGCCCAGGTACAAAGTGAACATTTAAAGGTTTTTTTTTCCAAAATTGCAATGCAACAAAGAGAATTCTGGATTTTCTTTCCCTCCAACAGAGATAATTGGATTTGAATGGCCATAAGATCTAAACATTCAGGTACCAGCTCAGCTTTTAAATAAACATTACAGACTTACCACTGTGCCATTTGGTAAAGCGATCATCATCTCAACAGGAAAGTTGTAGTGTTCTAAATGCAGGCTGGCCAACCCAGCATGATGTTCATCGTCTTGGTTTCTCTGTCAAGAATGAAAATGTTGGGTTACCAAACAGCAACACATTTACCTACACTTTGGAAAGATTCATCACAATTTAAAACATGCTAATCAATCCAACCACTACCAAAAGAACTGATTGCTCAGTCAAGCATTAAGGATGCAAAGAGCAGAACTTTCCACTCACAGCACTCAGTTGAGATCACAGCTTGTGTATTAACACATTTGTATAAAAACTCCTTTGCTATTGTAATTAGCACCTTCATTCAAATACTGAAGACTGGAATTTCATTCAAAATTATGCAATTAATGTTGCACAGCATAACTGAGCGCAGACCTTGTTGAGTGGTCCTGTGACAACATGCTGAAATTTACAGCAAAGTGATCTTGTGTCTTCTGTCAATTCCCAAATGAGTTTGCAGCTTAGTTCAGATGATGGTGGATGGTGGGGCGTTGGTGTGGTTGGGGAAGAAGTGGTGACATTAAGCTGAAAAGCCTGATGTCTTCATACGAGGAAAGAAATGGAGATGAGGGAGGAGTGTTAAAACAGGACCAAACTATTGAGCCCTATGTTACGAAGTAACACTAATGAACAGTCACCCAAATCATTGAAATGGTGTGTGATTTGAACAGAATTTAGGGGGAAGGGAAAAAAAGTATAAAATAAATTATGATTTCCATACTAATTAATTACTGTTTTCTAAAATTTAGAATATTATTCCTTCAGAAATGTGGAGCCTTGGACAAAGAATCTGAGAACAATATATTACATCGACTTAAACTCAAGCAAGTATGAATTTTGTAACATTAAAAACATTTAAACAGGATCAAGATGTTCTAAATGTGAGGTGCAGAAAGGACATAAAATAAAATTCACAATAATTTAAAATCAGATTTCATCATAACAGGCTTTAAAGTTTTTTTGATTTGAACCTATTGAAAAGTGCATCATTCAGGCATTCTTGACAGCAGAGAAGTCACTGAGTGAAAGATAACAGCAACGACATTTATTGCTCCCAAGTACACCCCTACTGAAACATTCCAGTCTTCTTATTTGATTATACGCAGGGCACTGGCATACAGTGCCGACAAACAAATTCAATTGTGAACAGTTTCAATATATTGAAGAAAACTCAAAATTAATGGGATAAGGAGTGTCAGTTTCTCTCCTGGAAATGAAAATGTCCCACAAGCTCTTCGGGGCTCTGGTCTCAAAGTAATCCTAATTGGTTTCTGGATTGAAGTTAGACCATATAGTGAAGAAACACCAAGGAAAAATGACAATTTCATGTACTGTTACTCCAGATCAACAATTTAATATTTATATGAATTTATAAATCATGATAAAAACACACAAAAGAAACTGCAGATGCTGTAAATCAGAGACAAAATTAGAAATTGCTGGAAAAGCTCAGCAGGTCAGGCAGCATTTGTGGAGAGAAATCAGAGTTAACATTTCAGGTCGATGGACCCTTCTTGATGCTGCTAGACCTGCTGAGCTTTTCCAGCAATTTCTATTTTTGTTACAAACCACGATGTTTTGTTTCAGAAGGACACTTAGCCTATTGCATCGATGCTGCTCACACTAGCTCCATCAGAGTGATCGACTGAAAACATGTCCGTGCTTTTTCTTCATGGCCTCAATATTTTTTAATTCTGACAAACAGTTTTTCAGATGTTTTGCCTACTCACTCTTAAATTTACCAGCATCAATAAACATGGTGTTCATTTATTCCTTATCTACAAGTCTAGCTTGAAACTAGGTTTGATGCTGCTTGCTGCTAATTCACCAACTAATCCTTAGCATTTCCTCTCCCTTACCTTAAGATCCTCCAGTTCTTTGACTAGGGACCAGCTGCTGACAAAACTCTCATTCAGCAGTGAGAGGACGGGCGAACTCTCGAGAACAGTCTCCCGCAGAGTCCGCCCTGAACCTGTGTAGACAGAAGAAATAAAAAGAGGCTCAATTTGTTAATAGAATGATGGGCAGTTGGCAATGCACTGATAAAAGATAAGTTCATTTCGCACAAATTAAAACACTGAAATCTGATCCCACAAAACACCAGAGCTGGGAAGTAAACCATTTTGTACTCCTGTAGAGAAAGTCTGCCCATTCCAAGAAGGCGTTGGAGAAGGGTGCAAAAAACATACAAAGATGCCACCAAAGTTGCAAGATTATACCTGACAGAAACCAGCTAACAGGCTGGATCTCTTTTCCTCCTCTTCAAAAATGAAGGCTGAGACAGTGACCTAACTGAAGTCTTTTAAATAATAAAAAGTCAAGATAAAGCAGATTATAGAAAGAATGTTTCCTGTTGTGGGGGAGAAGCAAAACCAGAGGTCATCAATATAGGATAGGTAACAAAAAATTTGATAGGGAGTTCAGAAGAAAAGTCTGTATTCGCAGAATACAACGATTGTAGAGGGACTGGTTATGATGAATAGGATTGATATTTTTGAGAGGAGGCTTGATTAACATTTGAGGGAGAAGAGAAGCGGGGGGTGGGGCTGGGGTGCAGATTATGTTGTTAGATACAGGTGAGAAAGGATGGGAGGAGTCTCAATCAGAACTTAATCAGCAACAAAGCCTGGTTCTATACTGTAAATACTAGGTATTTAACAATAAACCTATTGCATGTATCTCATAGAAACTTTACAAACACAAGTGCATTTCTCCATTTAGAAAGGCAAGGTTTGATCAGGGTAGTCAAAATGATTTTGTCAGATGGAGGTCATAGCTAACAAATCTAGCTGAATTTGGAAGGAGATGAAAAAGTGCGTAATGAGGGTAGTGCAATTGAAGTAGTTTATGAGGACTTCTGCAAGACCTTTGACAAGGTCCCATGTGGGAGGCCGATAAAGAAAGGAAAAGAACTTCAGATCCAGGGTAACTTGGATCCAAAACTGGCTTAGTGGTAGGAAACAAAGCGTAATGGTAGAAGGCTGTTTGTGTGACTGGAGGCCAATGTCCAATGGCATACCACAGGGATCAACGTGGGTCCCTTATTGTTCTTGATATATAATATGCATATGTAGATGGGTTTTTTGTCAGGGGAGAGGGGGCGCTGACAAGTAAGTTTGCAAATAACACAAAGGTTGGCCAAGTGGTGGCTGACAGTGAGGAATAAGTTCTAAGTTACAGAAGGATATAAACAGATTGGTCAGATGAGCAGATCAGTGACAGATACAATTTAACTCTGATAAGTGTGAGATGAAGCACTTTGGAAGCAGTAATAAGACAAGGGAGTAGTCAATGAATGGTCAGATGCTAGGAAGATCAGAGGAACAGACAGATCTTGTCCACAGATCCCTAATGACAGCAGGACAGATTAATAGGGTAGTTAAGGCAGGAAACGGAACACTTGCTTTTATCAGTTAAGGCACAGATTATAAAAGTGGGGAGGTCATGTTGAAGCTGTACAGGACTTTGGTTAAGTTACAGCTGAAGGACTGTGTGCAGTTCTAATCATCACACTATAAGAAGTATGTGATTACATTGGAGGGGGTACAGAAGAGGGTGGCACATTGGTTAGCACTGCTGCCTCACAGCGCCAGGGACCCAGGATCGATTCTGGCCTTGGGTGACTGTCTGTAAGGCATATGCATGTTCTCCTTGTGTCTGCGTGGGTTTCTGCCAGGTGCTCTGGTTTCTTCCCACAGTCCAAAGATGTGCAGCTTTGGTGGATTAGCCATAATAAATGCAGGGTTACAGGGGATAGGGTGGGGTCAGGTCTGGACAGGAAGGTCTCTTCGGAGGGTCAGTGCACTCGATGGGCCAAATAGCCTCTTCTGCACATAGGGATTCTAAGATTGAGCCCTCCAGTAAAGAAGAGATTCACCAGTATGTTGCCTGGATGGAGTGCTTTCTCTATGAAGAGAGGCTGGATAAACTCACGTTCTTTTTGGAATAGAGAAGGTTGCAAAGAGACCTGATGGAGGTCTAAAAGATTGAGCAGCATGGGCAAAGTGGATAGAAATCAGCTCTTCCTCTTAGTTGAAGGGTCACAAACAAGGGGGCAGACTTTTAAGATGGAGATTTAGAAGGGATTTGAAGAAAAGGTTTTACATCCAGAAGGTGGTGGGGATCTGGAAATTGCTGCCTGGGAGGGTAGTTGAGGCAGGTAACCTCACAACCGGTTAAAAAGTACTTGGATGAGCACGTGAAATGTCACAATAGTGAAGGCTATGGGCCTGGTACTAGAAAGTGGGATTGGCGTAAATTTAGCGTAGTTTTGACGGTTCTGTCTTGATGGGTCAAAGGACCTCTTCTGCACTGTATGATTCGCACCCTCATTTGGTCATCACGATCATGCAAACATCTAAAAACTAAGAACAAGGAGCAGAAAATAAGCTCTTTTCATGACTGGGAGATGTGCAAATTTGATCCAAAGTCATTGCTTTATCCATGGTTCTCTTACTCGTTCACAATGAGGTAAACATTTCTTGAATCTCTAACAGCATTGTAGTTCAATGTTTAAGAAGGCAGCGCAATATTTTGTGGTACAGATTCTTTATAATCTTTTGCACAGCCCTGCATGTGTGGTAATTTAAAGGCATAGACTTGCATATGGAAATGTCTGGGTTCCTGCCCAGCTTAGAAGGAACAGTGTTTACCACTGTCTTCCCAAGGGCAACCAGGGACATGCAATAAATGTCAATGTACCCACATGCCAAGAATGTATCAACTTTTAAACATCCAGGATTGAAAGGCAGGACTCACCTCAGCAAGACTGATCATCAAGTGCACCCCAGAGTAATATGGAATGCACAAGTTTATGTTCCATCTTCGCACGGTCGAAAACTTCAGTAAATGGAAGATATGAAATCTGGGGGAAAAAAAATGTGATCAGGCTTACTGTGTCCAGCCTGGCAGCTGAGTCATTAATGCAGGAAAGAAAAAAAAGACTAAAAAGCATTAAGCGACCCTCCACCATCCCTATGTCCCCACGTTTTATTCACTAGTTACCTTCTTAAATGGATACATGGTTGTCTCCAGCTTGTTGGTAGCTTCTTCAAAGCTGATTTCTGATTGCCAGACAATCTCTTCAAAAATAAATTGAATGGGTTCCCCTGAAGCATCTGCAGTGTCGATCACATTACCATTTTCATCAAGGATAATATTCGGAGTAGATGGACCCACAGCCTTGAGCTCCATCTGCATCAGAGACAGATGGACAGGCACTTAGGAAATGAAGCACATGCCATTGCAGAGCAAAAGCAGCCATCCGAGACATTACAAAATTTTCTTCATTGCTACAAAGCTGTCTGCTTCCCTTCCAGCTTGATGCCCTCTTGCTGCTACACTGACATTCAACTTACAAATAAATTCTCACTCTTATCCAGATTTCTGAATTTGCTCCCAACCCACACTGGGATAAATTACATTAGACTCCAATCCACTGAATTGTGTTATTATTAAGCAGAATGCACTAATACTAATCACATTATTACTGACAAAGACAACAATTGCTGTATGGTATTCAGTAGAATGTGGCTCTCAGCAGCTCTCCATGAGGAGCGTCAGTAAGCTTGAACAGAGACCTCCATAATCACTCCATTCGCCTCCAAAAGAGGCATGGATGCTCAGCCCTCCTCAGACATACTTTCATAGAAAAGGGTTTCTTGCTTAGTTCTCTGATGAAACAATTAAGCTATTCATCATTTTCAAAAATGCTTAAAATTTCCTCGCAGTTTCATCCCCACACACTATAACCATATTTAGTCACATTGCTATATAGTCAGGACATGAGGGTAAAGGTGAATCCTGACTTTCCTGGTAAAAGCGCAAATGGGATTCATGTCTCCAGAATTCTCACCCTGAAATAGTAAGTTTCTCCATTGAATGACAAACTGAAATTATAAACTGAAAAGCAAACGTTAAAGAAACAGCATTTTACCGCCCACCCTTGAAATAATACCAACTTCATGCAATCAAACATAGATGATTTGGAGTTGGGGACTAAGTGTGATGTGTCAAAATTTGCAGATGACACTAAGATGAGTGGTGGAGCAAAGTGTGCAGAAGACACTGAAAGTCTGCAGAAGGATTTAGACAGTCTGAGTGGGCAAAGGTCTGGCAGATGGAGTACAATGTTGATAAGTGTGAGGTCATCCATTTTGGTAGGAATAACAGCAAAATGGACTATGTTTTAAATGGTAAAAAATTGCAGCACACTGCTGTGCAGAGGGACTTGGGTGTTCTTGTGCATGAATTGCTAAAAGTAGGATTGCAGGTGCAGCAGGTAATTAAAAAGGCAAATGGAATTTTGTGTGTCATTGCTAGAGGGATGGAGTTTAAAAACAGGGAGGCTATGCTGTATAGGGTCCTGGTGAGGCCACACATGAATTACTGTGTGCAGTTTTGGTCTTGAGAAGGGATATACTAGCACTGGAGGGGGTGCAGAGGAGATTCACTCGGTTGATTCCAGAGTTGAGAGGGTTGCATTATGAGGAGAGACTGAGTAGGCTGGGATTATACTCATTGGAATTCAGAAGAATGAGGGGAGATCTTAAAGAAACATATAAGATTATGAAGGGAATAGATAAGGTGGAGGCAGGGAGGTTGTTTCCACTAGCAGGTGAAACTAGGACTAGGGGGCATAGCCTCAAAATAAAGGGAAGCAGATGTAGGACTGAGGTCAGGAGGAGCTTCTTCGCCCAAAGGGTTGTGAATCTGTGGAATTCCCTGTCCAGTGAAGCGGCTTCGCTGAATGTGTTTAAGGCAAGGCTAGATAAATTTCTGAACAGGAAAGGAATTAAGGGTTATGGTGTGGGGGTGGGTAAATGGAGCCGAGTCTCAAAAAGATCAGCCATGATCTTATTGAATGGTGGGGCAGGCTTGAGGGGCCGGATGGCCTACTCCTGCTCCTAGTTCTTATGTAAACAGTATGAGAGGCCATTCTGCTCATCATGCTATGCTGCCTTTTTAAGATGATATCCAAATATTCCCACCACTCTTTTCCCATATATCCTTGCAAGTGCTTTTTTTCTTTAAAGTACATATTCATGTCCCATCTGAAAGTTTCTATTGAATCTGTTTCCGCCACCCTTAAAAAGTGGCATATTCGAGATCATAATTAGCTGCGTAAAACTAGGAATATTATCTGCCTTCAGGTTTTTTCTCAATTACCTTAAATTGGCATTCTCTAGTCACTGATCACTCGCAAGCGTGAACAGTTTCTCTAAATAAAAACCGAACGAACTGCAGATGCTGTTAATCAGAAACAAAAATAGAAATTGCTGGAAAAGCTCAGCAGGTCTGGCAGCATCTGTGGAGAGAAATCAGAGTTAACGTTAACTCTGATTTCTCCCCATGGATGTTGCAAGACCTGCTGAGCTTTTCCAGCAATTTCTATTTTTGTCTATAAATAGTTTCTCCTCATTCACCTATTCAAAATCTACAGAATTTAGAACCCCCGTATTAAATCTTTTGTGGATGTCCTGGAAAGCTACAAAGTAAAGAGCACAACAAACCTGAGGTAAGTAGCCTATGTCGACTTCCATGTTGCCACTTTCACCTGCCCCATACAGCCACTCCATGTCCACATTCAGAGACCTAGTCCAGATCAAATGTACTACTTAGTAGTGGTTCACCAGACTTTCTGGAGATACTCAAAGCCATATAGTCATCAGGTGATGAAATTGCCAACATCTGAAGCTTGGAGAGAGCTACCAAGCACTCAAGCACTCTTTTTAGGTACAGCTCGATAGACACTGGCACCACCCTACTGTAAAGCTCAACTATAAATGGTATGTTAAGCATATTGCTGAAATAATGAGTTAAATTAATTTTTTACTTAGGTTTCTAGAGCACTACAAAGTATAGCCTGCTGGCACATTAGAAGGCAGTAGATGATATGTTGTGTTACATTCTGTGAATAAACCCATTACCAAGAAAAGGAATTGTGTCTAGTTTCAATTTTTATCATCTGACTAGGAATCTAAATAACAGAAACTTGTCACATTTTATTCACAAAAGTCAGGGAATTCAACCAGGGAAAGCATCACAGCCAGTCTGTTTTGTGGTTGATACTGAACACTTGGACAGCCTGCAGCTGCAACTCTAATGATCTCCACCTCCCAGTTCAGAGAATGGAGAGTCCAACTATACCAACACAACCCCAAAACTCTGGATTGAAACATCAAACTTAGCAGAGAATGGGGTTGAAACCGTGAAGCGATAGGAAACAAAATGTATGCTTAAACTGAACTCCCAAAGTGACAGACAAGCAGAAAGAGATTTAATTTCCAACCTATTTTTATTTGGGAAAAATCAACATGAAAAGCAGGTCACCTGAATGAATAAAAAGAGAATGAAGTGATTGAAGTAGCAAGTAGGAAGTACCAAACTTGGATTTTAAAATCTGACAGGCTCTGGCAGAGGGAGATTGTGAGGATTTACAATAAAAGAAAAAACAGAAGGAATGGGCATCATTCCCAGATCCATAGAGGGAGTGGGTCCAATAATTGATAAGAAGCCCACTGGAAACCTGTGTGTCAACAGGAACTTGACAAACTCTACTATTCTGCAGCAGTCCACATTTCTATGTGTGCTACTTGCTGGTCAAAGTTCCAGTGTTTTGGCAGCTAACATTCTCGTTTGTTGTTTATTTGTTCTTAAACTCCTATTGAGCTGTGCAATGCTATAATAATCAGCTTTGGGTATTATTGTCCGGTCTGCTTCTGTACAATAAATTTAAAGAGGCCCACTGCATATATGCAAACAGAGGAACTAACATGCTTCCCCCACTTCAAATAAAAAGGAGTCAGCAGAAGGAATAAAATAAGATAAAGGAAATGTAGCAAGAAATACACTGCACAACTCAGAACGAACATCACAAAGTCACAATTATTATAGCGACGGGATCGCCATTCAGCTCATCAAGTCTGTACCATCTCTCTGAATGAAAATTCTCAGAGAGCACTTTTCTCCTGCCCTCTTCCTGTAACTCTGCATATTCTCTTTTCCAATAATAATTCAATTCCCTCTTTAATGCTACAATTGAATCTGCATTCAACACATTTTCAGGCAGTACATTCCAGATTTTAACAATGAAAGCGACAGAAATAATGTCAAAGAATTTGACAAATACTCGACAACACTGAATGGTTTTGTGCATTTCCTGTAGGTTTTCTCTGATATGCAAATCATTCACTCATCTGCCAAATGAAAATATCTTCAGCGGTTTAAGTTTCTGGAGTTACTCTTAATGTGATTACACTCATATAGAAGAGACCATAAGACATTGAGCATAAATAGGCCATTCAGCCCATCAAGTCTGCTCCACCATTCAATGAGATCATGGCTGATCTGATGATCCTCAATTCCACTTTCCTGCCTGTTCCCGATAACTTTTGATTCACTTAAGGATCGAAAATTTGTATCTCAGCCTTGAATATACTTAACAACCCAGCCTCTACAGCTGTTGGCAGCAAAATATTCCACCAATTGACTCCCTTGGGGAGAAGAAATTCTTCTTCTCTGTCCTAAATGGGTGACCCCTTTCTCTGACAATATGCCTTCTGGTCTTGGACTCTCCTACAGCGGAAAGGATAAAGTGGAAAAAAAAAGCAAAAATGAAACAGCAAGAGGGAGGCACAGGGGAAATGAGAGTGAGAGAGGAAAATAGCTGCAAGAAAGGCAGGCAACAGCCAATGTGCATACGGCAAGCTCCGACAAAGACTATACAATATCGTGTAGTGATGCTAACCAAAGAATATAGATTGGTCAGGACATCACACCAACTCCAATATCCTTCTTTGAACAGTGCTATGAAATGATTTCATATCAACCCAGAGGGCAAACACTGCCTCAGTTCACTTCTCCATCAACAGTGCAGCACCCTCCAAGTACTGCACTGAATTGTCAGGTGAGATTACATGTTTAGTTCCTGGAATGGGGTCTGAACCCACAACCATCTGACTTCAAAGCTGAACATGCTCCCACTGTATCAAGTCTAATCTTTCCACATAAAGAAACTGACTCAGAAATCGATTTATGGGATAAAATAAAATATTCCTAAAAAATATTCAATATTTATCATCTGGGAATGCAGAGAAGACAGATGTTTTAAAAAATCCCACTAACCTGTCATTGGGAACATACATCTGGAAATCCCGAACATGAGATGCATCTTTAGAAAGAATGATGTGTCCAGTAAACTGCCCTGGAGTGAACCAAAAGGGATAATCTGGCGGCTCATTCAACTGAAATTCTCCATGGATCCTGAAATGGAAACATAAGTCACCCTCATGGCCATTCTACTAGTCTGCCAAAAAGGTAAAATGAATGTCTACCAGTATTAGCCATCTGATATAGGGTTAAATACACTCCCCAGTGCTTCATCACAGCATCTCCAGCTTCCAACTACCCCACCCCAATCAGCATTTTTACTACCGCATTAGAACAAAAGAAATAGGATTGGGAGTAGGCCATTCGGCCCCTCTAGCCTGCTCCATCATTTAATAAGATTGGCTGATTTGATGCTGCCAGTCCTTCACATAACCCTAAGCTCTCTTGTCAATTAAAAATTGACCCATACTCTATTGCTCCTTGTCACAGAAAATTTCCAACAACCCTCTGAAGAAATGCCTTATCGCCTGGTCTTAAATGGGACAACCCTTGTGCCCCTAGTTCTAGATTCTGCCATGAGGGGAATCATCCTTTCAGCATCTACCCTGTCAAATCCCATCAGATTTTGATTTGCTTCAATAAGATCACCTCTCATTCGTCTAAACTCCAATTGTTAAAGGCACAAATCACTTAATCTTTCTTCATAAAACAATCCCTTCATTCAAGAAATCAGCCTAGTGAATCTTCTTTGAACTGCCTCTAATGCAACCATGTATTAAATAAGGTGACCAAAACTACGCACAGTATTCGCCAATATTTTTGTTACTCATAAAAATATTCAAACAAAATGAAAACTGATGCAAGATGCTTTCCAATGCGATACAATATTTCCCCAGGTGTTGAGTAACAACGTCCAGGACATTCCTGAAGAGTTGCCAACCCTAGCCTTTAACACTAGGTGTGGGGATTCTTTAACCATATTTAATCATTTTATAATAATAAATGGGGAGTATAAAGTAAATCAACAATAAAGTAGAGATTTTAAAAATAATCAAGGAGATCAGTCACTCGGATTGTATGCAAAACTCAGGTCTGTTGTACCATTAGCTTGAAAGTTGCCCCATTATTAGGTGGAGGCAAAGGAATAGGACTGTATTTCAAAATAGTACAAGGGTTCACAGGGAGTAAACGCAAAAGCTGAAGTCTACCACTGTTAGCCTTCTTTCACTTCTTAAACACAGAACAATGTTGTGTCGGGTCTACACTTGGACTTATCCAGGGACCTCTGAAACCATTACAACAGTTGCACCAAGATCGAATGGAAAAAGTAGCAGGAAGCATACACATTTGTAATGTATGTGATTCAAACCTCAAGCATCAATGAAGAAGGAACTGTCCAATATCAATTATGTCAGTGATAAGCAACTTCAACAGTTCCATTACTTGCTAAAGTTGCACGTATAACAGGCCCTCATGAGATCCCAAGATGTGTTACACCCAAAGAATTATTCCTGAATACTGTTATATAACAAAAGGAAGACAACTTAAAGCAGATACTCAGAGAGAAAGCTCTGAAATAATTTGTGGAGTTGACACAGGAAAAGTACCCACCTGAAGACAATATCATAATAGAAGTCACTGACTGCACGGATGCAGGCCACTGCACCCTGGGGTGCAAACCTCGTCTTCACAAATGGCCGTGGATGAAACATACTTAGAAGTTTATGGATAAGGACCTGTTTAAAAGGAAAAAAAATTAAAAAGGGAGACACTGTAATACTGGTTACAGGGATATATCATTTTCACCATAACATTAAGAATCGACGTACTCAATTTAGGTGCTGGTGGACAAGTAAAAGTTCTTTCCTGGTGCTGTCAGCAAGTTCCCAAACTGTTATCATTGGCTCAACCAATAGTTACAGCAAGATCAGAAACTCTGTGCAGAAATCCCAGGTGCTGATGTTCATTCTCCCACTCTAACTTTAAGCACTGGATGTACAAAGAACGTCTTTGAACATCTTTCTCTGAAAAAGGATAATATTCTCTCATTTTTAACATTGATTAATATTTGTTTAGTTTATCATTTTTGTTTTGGGGAAATCAGAGGGATTTCCTACTGTATAAATGAATATCCACATAGCAAAGCATTGCTGAAACCACTCGATTTTTTTTCCTAATACTCAGCAACCCTGTGCAATGCAGTTACCAGCCAGCTGACAAACAGCATGGCCACAAACTAAGACCAGATTAAATATGCCCAAGAATACAGCAAGATTTTGCCCTTTATCGTGGAGCTCAACATTAGGATTAAACAGGGCGACAACCTCATACCATGTGAGGAATAGTCTCCCATCAGCAATTTTCCACAGATTATCCCACTAAGGACCAGGGCCAGGCTCTCAGAGTTGAACAACACTTGGAGAAAGCACTGAAGGTGGTAAAGGTACAGATCTACTCTGGCTGGTTGATTTCAGTGTCCACCGCCAAGAGGGGTTCATCACCACTGTTACTGACCAAGGATATAACTGCTAAACCGAGTCTTTGGTAGGTTGTGAGGGAAGCTGTAAGAGGGAAAAGCATTTCACCTCACCCTCACCAACCTGCCTGCTGCAGATATATATGTCCATGACAATATCAGTAAGAGTAATCACTGCACAGTCCTTGTGGAAATAAATCCTGTCTCAACATCTCTGAGGCAACTGTCAGCCACCAGCAGCAGCAGAGTTGTACTCTGACATAATATGCAAATTTATGGCCTGGTGTATCCCCACTCCACTATTACCAATAAGCCAAGGGATCAACCCTGGTTCAATGAACAGTGCAGGTAAGCATGCCAGGACTAGCAACAGGCATACCTAAAAATGAGGTCAACCTAATGAAATCTACAAAAGAGGCCTATTTGCATGCCAAACAGATAAGAAGCAAATGATGAACAGTGCTAACCGCTCCCACAAGAGACAGTGAGGTCATAATTGAGCTGGCTCCATTCTGGACTTAATACTAAATATATGAAAAGGAATTATCAAGTGGTACATTGTTTGTAAAAATTGGTGTATCATCAATAAATAACATTATAAATGCGTGCTAACTTCACAAGCTCAGCCACATTAATATGCAATATTTTACCTCTCTCCCTTGTGGCATTGGAGGATAAAATCTGTTATTGGAGAGGTACCCAGTAAAGATAGTCAGCTCACTGGGAATCATCCACCATGTTTCGCCCAGCTCTACTTTATTTTTATGAGGGAGGAAAGCTTTAAATTGACTGCTACTGAAGATACTAGAAGGTATTTCTGCAGACTTCCAGTTTTTCAGTCCTGATAGGGAGCCATGGGAGACCTGAAACAAGAATAAATGCATGGAATTTTCTTACTCTGGTCTTAAATACGCTGCTAACATATTGTATAATAACTATACAAATATTATTTAGTTACAGTATAGCAAGTATTATTCAATGGCATCCTTCCCAAGATTTATGTATTAAAATAAAATCCTTCTTTACTGGTACACTATATACCATGGCCATTTGAAGGTCAATTAAGGTGTTCCGTATTTATAGTATAGTTATGGAATCAAAAAGGTTTATTAATCTCATCTCAAAAGTATAATTAAGGTAAAACCTCTTCAATCATTCCTTGAATCTATCTTAGCTAAACTGTTGTGGTGTTTGAAGTTTTTATACAAGGTTAATGAATTGATACCTGACATTAATGTGTCTTTTTTGTTGTTTTAACAAAGACTGGTCATTATATGATAAATTCCAAATCAATCCACTGTAACCACAGATAAACAAGAACTAAAACAGCAGATTCCACAAAAAAAATTAATCTTCTCATTAACAATTCACTTTGTCATGTTGAAAAACTGTTAATTAAATATTACACGAACCTGCATTATTGCTTCTTTAATCATGCTTTTTCAACAGTTCCATCTTTTAAGCAATTAGAAGTAAGAAATAGAATCTTTCAATGTTTAACAGTTTTGTTTGGGGATTTAGAGAATGGTGGGCATGTGGAATGCACTGCCAGCAGTGGTAGTGGAGTCAGATACTTTAGAGACTTTTAAGCGACTCTTGGATAGGCACATGGAGGATAGTAAAATGTAGGGTATACAGGGTAGATTGATCGGAGTAGGATAATAGGTTGGCACAACATCGTGGGCCGAAGGGCCTGTACTGTGCTGTACTGTTCTATGTTCTATGCATAGAACTCAAGAATTCATTAGCATTTGGTTCATATGTTATAAACTTTATGTGATGAGCATGACGACAAAGTGTAGAATTACTACATCATTAAGAAAGCCTTTAAAGTCTACTGAAGAATGTTTTGGCTGTTTTTACAGCATCTTTTGTCTTCAGCATGCTCAAAAGTGCTTCATGGCCAATAACGAATGTGAGTCTAACCAGTAAAAATGCATTGTGCTGTAAAGTATTTACTAAGTACTACCACCTGCAAGTTCCACTCAAAGCCACTTATCATCTAACTTGTAAATATATTGCCATGCCTTCACTGTCACTGGGCCAAAATTCTGGAATTCCTTCACCAAGGGCGTTGTGAATCTGCCTACAGCACTTGGAGTGCAGTGGTTCAATATGGCAGCTCAAAACCTTCTCAAGGGCAATTGGGACAGGCAAATAAATGATGGCCATATCCCACGAGTGAATGAAAAAAAAACCTTTGTTTGTGTAAAATATTTAATTGTAAATCATTGGCATTTGTTGCTATAGCCTATGTGAAGTTTATATGGCATGACATATTTTAGCTCTACAGAGAGCCGTTGCACTGTGAATCCTGTTTAAGCTCAGAAAAGTAAATTGCACATTTATTAGCTGGAACTGGAAAGTGAAAGGTGCATATTTCAAAACCTGTTGTCTGGTTATTTGTGGAAGACAACAGCATTAGAAAAGACTGAATTGAGAGTTACTAAAATAAAACAAAGAACCCGTGGATGCTGGAAATCAAACTAAAACAAATTGCTGGAGAAACTCAGCAGGTCTGACAGCATCTGTGAAGAGAAAGTAGAGTTAATATTTCAAGTCTAGTGACCATTCTTCAGAACCCATTCCCTGGCCATCAGGCATCTTCCTGACCAAATATACAATATAGTAATTAAGAGCAAGTGGGATTCCATCAATCAGGGAAATGGTATGAGGCAGGAAGAAAGGATTCTACCTCTCCAAGCTCAAAAAATGGGAGGCAGGGGGACACTATCAAATTACAATTTTGTTTTGTCCTTACTGATTTTTCTCACCTTTCTTCTTTAAAACATCGACTCCTTGATGAATTCCACAAGCACAATGAGCCCTCAAATGCCTCATTCAAATAGCTATTAGTCACATACTCACTTAGATGTATGCCAGCCTGCTATTCAACAGCCAGGCCATCATAATTCAGTCAATGTTCAATATCTTAATGGGCACTCCTTGTCAAAGTCAATGAATAGTAGCAAGGAACGAGAAATCTGCCCTATTCTCCCCTCTCAAACTCATTTCACCTTCCTAAATGTGATTTAACACCCAGTACAGATCAGGCCTGGTTTTGCCAGTCTGTACATCTCTGCTAATCACTAAACTATCACTCAATGTTCTAAAGCTTTCTGTACCTCAATCATTCAGTGGATAAACTGCACCATGTCTTGTTAAAATTGTAAACAATGACATTCCCAGCTTCAAAACCTGGCTTCAGCTGGGTCAGAGTGGATGGATGCAGCATCATTATCATCATGTCACAAAATATAGATAATCAATTTTTAAATTTTCCTCCTCAGATATTAATACCTGAGACTTTTAAGAACCAAAATGGTTTTTAAAAGAAGAAACATAGACCTAAAATACTTGCAGTGATCACTTGACCAAAAAGGGAGGCAGGTCGAGAAAACAATATGGAATAAAAAAAATTGTCTGAACTGAAATGACTATTTTATTGAAGAACATTGAATCAGTCAACCCCGTCAAAAGTTTAGAAATCTGCATCTCCTGTATTAATTTACACCTAAATAAGATGAACATACTGGACCTGAAAGGTTGCCTGCAACTATCCAATCTGGAAAAACAATGAGGCCAGACTCAGGAATACACAAATGAACCATGTTTTAGTAGCTGTTTGGCAGAGCAATAGATAGAAAGAATGAAAAATGGATTAGTAACAGTAAATACTGGAAGACTTTCTCCTTTTGTTGCCTAACCTCTCAGAAAATTCTCAGAAGCATCTCTGGTAAAACAAAAACATCCCTTCACCTAGAACATAAGGATTCTACAAATTTTGCTACTGCTGAGGATACAAGACATCAACTAAATAGCTGTCATCTCAGTCTCAATTCTCATAATTCAAGGACTTTATAAACTTCTAAACTGCATATTCTTCATTCTTTCTTTTTGCACTTCCTTTTGCACAGGTGTTTAAAAATACCTGTGTTTAATGTCACATTTTGTTATTTTTGTCAAGATTAGTAGGTAATAAAATTCCTCTTTCTTTCACTTAAGAAGAAAACATTGTAAGTTGCCTCCTTCATGTTGATCAACTAAGCTGCATTTTAATTGAAGTGTGACATTGCTGCGAGATAAAAGAAACACTTGTTATAACTAACTGATGAGGGTAAAAAGGGAACCACTTCACCCCTCCTCCCTGGACAAAACAATCATCAAGACCTGGGGGACAAATCTAGAAATAATAAGTCAAAATTTAAACTTCCAATTTCCAATCAGAGAGAGGAGAAAAATGCATTCAGTTGAGGATGGGATTGAGTTTAGTTATGATATCTCCAACCATGTAGACTGCCAACAGCCAATATCATCACTCACAGTGAAGAATACATGGGGGTATTAAGAGACTGCTAATGTATACAGAGTGACAGGTAACACCCGCACAGAAAGCAAGAAACATCGAAATTTCCATTCATTATGGCTTTGAAATTTCTTATTAAGAAAAATGCTTGTGCAATCTGCAACCTGGAACATTATAAGTAGTTTTTGTCTTCTTTTCTCTGTGAGAAGCCAGGTCTGAACTGAATACCATGACTTCACCACAAGGAAAGCTGATCCTGAATCCACTCAGTCAGAATGGGGATTGAATCCCATGCTGTTGGCATTGATCTGTTCCACTCAGCCTCCAGTCAACTAAGCAAATCAGCCCCAAAGATGTTTGCATTGCTGCATTTGCATGCATATTGTAGCTTGAGGCCATGGATAATAATGGGGAAGGCTCAATCTTTCTTCTATCACATGGCTAACTACATATCTCTCCCTCTCTTACCACAAGCCATTGACCTGGGTTGGAAAGATTTACAAATTGATAAGTAACATATTTGGCCATGTTTTTAATGCAGCTTCCTTGGCCATCAAGTCCAGAGGTGAGACCTGAATCCATTGCCTCTGGGTCAGAGGCAGGGAAGTTATCCATCCCACCACAAAATCTTTACATAAAAGTTACATGAGGTTACAAATGGGTCGTCATGACGTGAAGCTATGGAAAGCAGAAGTTGATGACAGTAATGTATAAAGTAAACAAAAATTTCTTTACAATCATGCCTGTAATGAAAATAATTTCCAGAAAAAGTCACTCGCTTGGCTAAGTTTCACATTTGTAGCCTACAAAACAACTGTCGAATAACCAACAGTCACGATCAGAGCCGTAGAAAAGGGAAGACGTGATTCACTCACTCCAAGAAACCCATCCTTGCTCTTGGTCATAGTTTCCATCAGTAGAGGCTGGAATTTTGCTTCAATTGTCAGCACCTCTGAATTTGGATCAGGCTCCGCATTGCTTTCAAAGTCTGGGACTGTGGCAATACCTGCACACACAAAGAAACACACCTGATGTAATTAAAACAAAACTCTAGATCAGCCACTAATTTCATGTGGATTTAAGGATTTTATTTTTTGCATTAGAGAAGAATTAAATTAAAGAATCTTTAATAAGAAGTTTTTATCTTGATCCAAAATACCACTTAATTAAACTACTGAAAAACCCACATTAGACAACAGTCCCCACATAATATCATAAGAAATAAGAAGAGGAGTGGGCCATTCAGCCTCTCAAGCCATCCAATAGGATCTGGGTTGATCTGACATTCCTCACACTCACTTTTCCTGTGTAACCCTTGATTCCCGGACTGATCTATTGTAAAAAAAAAGATACAGGTAGTTCTCCTCTAACGCAATACTTGCGTTCTTGTGTGACCTCACGCTATAAAAATCACGCCACAGAAAATCACAATAGAAAATTGCTATACCTGTACAGCAAAGTTCGCGTTATCCAAACAGCATCCACTATTCATCAATCACATTACAGTCAATTTGCATTAACGAAACATGTATTATAGCAGAACTGCCTGTATTCTCTTCTGATCAAGAATCTATGGTTCTATCTACCCAGCCAAGCCTTAAAAATACACAAGGGCTCTGACCCCACAGCTCTGTGTCACAAGAAACTCCAAAGACTCACAACTCTCAGAGAAGAAATTCCTCGTATCTCAGTCTTAACTTGGCACCCCTTGATTCTGAGACTATGCCTTCTGGTCATAGACTCTTTCATGAGGGAAAACATGCTCTCAGCATTTACGCTGTCAAGCCCCTTAGAAATCCTATGCTTCAGAGATCAAATCACATTCTTCTAAATTCCAATGAGAAGAGTCCCAACCCATTTAACCTTCGCTCACAAGGCACATTTAATCTAAAGTTTCATTATACAGTACCTGTTAGTTTTTCAGCTAGAGGCTTGAATTCTTCTGGACTGAGGTACAAGTCATTGTTGGTGTCAAATGAGGAAAATAAGAAAAGTCCTTCACTGCCAAGAGATTTCAGAGCATCTTTCTAGAAGATAAATGTATTTTAAAAATGTAAAGAATACTGAACCACAAACTGTAACCACTGAACATAATTAACTAAGTTTTGAACATTCTGCAACAAAATTCCGTACAAAACCAAGGGGTTCTTCCTTCCAAATCTCTTACCAGCTACATGATGATCGTTTCTGTGAGATTTTAACAACATTGAGGAATTTCCAGCCATACGTGGTCAGTCCCAGCCATATTTCCATAAACATACTCACCAACACAAACCAGTAGATAATAATCTTGAAAACTTTTCACACTCACGGGAACATAGGACTTAGGAGCTTTATTCCACCTTTTTTTTCTGCTGTGTGGCGTGCAAGGCAGTGACTTCTTAAACCGGAAGTCAATGCTGGAAATGACATCAGCACACCAACTGGCAAGTGCAGACCCTTGGGACAGCTATATGGCTGCACAACTTATCAAGAATGTTACTATGAAGCATGATTTGGTCATCCAGTCCTTCAAAGCTGCTCCGCCATTCAATATGAAAACTGATTCACATGTGGTCTCAAACTTAAATTTCCTGTCTAACTCCCAACTCCCTTGTTGATAAAACATTGAATTGATTCAAAGCTGAGTTGGGTCAATGACCCAGCCTCCAATGGCTTCTGGTGAAGAGAATTCCATTCTCCAAAGGTCTTCCAAGAGAAAAAAAAACTTCACCTCCATCTTAAAAGGAAGTCCTTGTCCTTAAACTCTGTCTACTGGTTCTCATTTTCTACAGAAGAGGTTTTATTCTCCTAATGTCCACTTATGGTTTAATAAATTTCAAGAAGATCACCTCTCATTTTCCTAAAGTCAATTGCCACCTCTCCCCCACACCCACACTCGCGCCCCCCCCCCACCAACTCAATCCAGCAAAATAAACTAAATAAAGGACATATTAGGCCCATAAAAAGGCAGTGAACAGAGTGAATACAAGAGCAGAGATGTAATGCTGAAACTATATAAAAAACTGCTTAGGTCACTGCTGGACTTTTGTGTTCCATTCTGGTCATCACAATACAGGAAAGATTTAATTGCTCTAGACAGAGTACAGAGAAGGTTTACAAGATGTTGCCCGGACTTGAAAATTGCAGCTATGCGAAATATCCAATAGGCTGCTGTTGATTTTCTTCGAGCAGAGGATACTGAGCAGTAACAAAATAATGAGACCTAGGTTGAGCAGGCAGAAAAGACTAATTTCCCTATACCTGCACCTGAAGCACTGTAACCCGTAAGGGCCAGGTACTGGTAAATGGGATTAAAATGAGTGGTGCAGATATAGTGGGTTAAATGGCCACTTTCAGAGCTGTACCATTCCTATGGCTCTGAGTGATAGGTGATTGATACACCAAAGCCCTCCTTGTCCTCCAGCTAGGCCAGCTTGGAAATCTTTCTCAACTCACAGGTTTGTCCAGGGGTAACAATGCACATTGGTAGGTTTTAGTGGCATGGGAGTCATATCAAAATCAGCACCACGTACTATCACAGAGGTGAAAATAGGCAGTGTTGATGAATGGAAGAATTGTGGCGCTGCCAAATTCAGCTCTGGATCGAACAGGAAATCAAACAGTTCAGGCCCTCAGAATGGCCAAAGGAGCGAGCTGGGGCTGAGGGAAAAGACAGAAACAATGGCTTCCAGATTTTTCGATAAACACGATCCGTATTTTAAGAACGTTCCAATGTGACAAAACATGAAAAAGGCAACACATGATCTAATGTAGACAGAAATTTTCACAGAATCACAGAATTATTACAGTGCAGGAGGGGTCCATTCAGCCCATCATGTCTGTACTGAGCATTTTAACGGTGCCAAACTGCAGCCGTCTCCCCCGCAACCATGCACATTGTTGCTACGGCTTTCGTTTTGGTTTTTGGGAGTTGGGCGGAAGCTGCCGAATCTCTGGTGAAATAGGTTAGTCACGGAGGCTACGTGAACCTTTGCACGAACATCCAGCCGGCTGCACGTAAGCTTCCCTCCCCCCACAAACATTTTCTTTCTCTCATGGAGCCGGTTTGCCCAAATGAGGATGGCTTGAATTTTTTTAAAAATTGTTTTCGTTCCATCAAATAATAAGCACTCCCGCCCTTTTCCTTTTCCTGAACGAGCACTCAGCCTGACAATCGGCGCCGCCATGATGTGACCGTTATGACGGTTGGTCTCTTACTTGGCGTTCCGCGAGCTGGCAGTCCAGGTGATAGCTCCAGAGCGCGGACCCGAGGATCAGGCCTAAACCCAGGAGCAGCCCGGCTCCCAGCAACACCGGCAAGCGGCTCTCCGTGCCGTCCCCTCTGGCTTTCGTAATCCTGCTTCTCCTTCGCTCGGGTGAGGCTTCCACCGGCTCCCCAACTCCGGTGCCTTTCCGCTGCCTCACCTCAGGCGCCATCCGAGAGTCTCCACCGTGGCGGCGGCTCACTCCAAACCGCAATGGCCGCCACCCTACGGAAAACACTCTCCTTTTTCCCCCTGGCTGAGGAAAACACTCCTCCTCTTTCCCAGCTGGGGGTCTTCTCCACTAAATCAGATTCTTTTCTCTTCGATCCGCCCGGGGCATGAAGAAAACTCTCGAAGAACGAGAGCCACCGCTCCTCGGGAACCAATGATTTTTTCTCAACAAACCGAGGCCCCACTACTTCTGCCTGAACGAATACTCATTTTCCTCAAAGTAAGCCATCGCTTTTGATGCACCTCCCTCAAAAGCACAATTCCAGTCCCTTCAGTACTTTCTGATCTCCGCTAAAGATTCTACCGGTCTTAATGAATGTGAAAGCCAACAGGAAAAAACCTTCAGGAAGGATGATTATGAAATGTAGGAGCAAATTAGTGCAGATGCTGGAATCTGTACCGTACTGAAAACAGCAAATGCTGTTGGAGATCACAGCGGGTCAGAAGGCATCAATTGGGAGAGAGCAAGCTAACGTTGCGAATCAAGATGACTCTTCTTCAGAGCAGACTCTGCTCTCTTTGCATGAGTATGGAATGCCCTGCCTAGAAATGCCATGTAGACCAGTCCAATGGAAATATTCAAGAGGGATTTGGATGCTTATTTGGATAGAAATAGTGGACAGGGGTGTGTGGAAGGGGTGATGGGGCTGGAAATGGGCACTAGGTTAATGATCATTTGAAGAGCGAGTGCAGACATGATGGTGGGGCCACAATTATTTACAATATAAATGACTAGGCTAAGGGAAATGCATGTACTATCACGAAGTTTGTGGATGAGACAACAATAGGTAGGATGGCAAATAGTGACCATGATATAAAGAGTCTTTACAGACAGATTTAGACAGGTTAAGTGATTGAGCAAAAATTTGGCAGACAGAATACAATGTGGAATTATGTAAGGTATGCAGGAAGAACAGAGGAGCTGAATATTACTAAGGTAACGATTGCAGGGTGGTGGGATTTGGGGATCTTTGTGCATCAATCATAAAAAGTTCAAACTTCAGCAAATAATAGGGAAGGAAAATGGACTGTTATGAAGTTATAGTTCATTTTTCAATTACATTTCAAAAGGAATGGTATATAATAATAGGGATATCTTGCTAAAACTATAAAAGGCATTAGTCACGCCACACCTGAAATACTTCAAACAATTTTGGTCTCCTGACCTATTGAAAGATAGACTGGCATTGGAGACAGTTCAGATAAGGTTTACTAGGTTGACCCCCAGTATGGAGATTTTCTTTTAAGAAGAGAGGATGAGTAGGTTGGGCTGTAGTCTTTAGAGTTTAGAAGAACAAAAGGAGATCATAATTTGAAACATATAAGATTCTTAGGTGGTGTAACAAGGTTGATACCGAGAGGTTGTTTCCACTTGTGGGAGAGTCTAGGACCATAGGGTGTAATCGCAAAATAACGGGTCACCCACTTAAGACTGCAATAGGGAGTAATATTTGTCTGAAAAGGTATTTAATCTGTGGAATTCTTTACCCCAGGCTGTCAAGGTTGGGTCATTAAGTATATTCAAGGTTGAGATTGACAGATTTTTAAGCAATAAGGGAAAGAAGGGTTGTGAAGGAAAGGCAGGAAAATGGAGATGAAGGTTATCAGATCTGCCATTATCTTATTGAATGGCAGAACAGACTTGCTGGGCTAAATGGCCTGTTTCTGCTGCTATGTCTTAAAATTTTATGGTCTTATTCCAAAAACTTTAGTGAAATATTATTGATATCTTTTTTGTTTGAAGCAAGGCTGTATGTAATTAGAGAAGACAAAGACAGGTGTTGCACACATGTTGTAGCATTTGTGTTCTATGAAGTTTTGAAAATGAAAGAGAGTCTAGTGGCAGAGTTTCAGGTCAGGAAGAGAGAATTGGAAACGTGCTTGTAAAAGAGGAGGAGGGTGTTTTTGCTTCTAAATTTTTCAACAGAAAACACCAACAGTACTTTTAAGACTTAATTATTTCACTTTTGTTAAGAAAATTCAAATTCCTAAATCATGAGAAAGAAGTGGGTAAAAGAAAAATACACTGGAGAAGAAACCGAACATGCAAATATTACATTATTTTAATTTGATTTATCTTTCAAAATAATATTGATACTTCCGACAGTAAATAATGTTTCCCTTAGAGATACAGATAAAGAAAAAAGAAAATTTTACATTTATATAATACTATCCATGACCTCAGTACTCACTTGCCTGGATGAGTGCAGCTCCAACAACACTCAAGGAGCTTGATACCATTCAGGACAAAGCATCCCACTGGACGTTACCACATCCACAAACATTCACTATCTCAACCACCAGCACTCAATAGCTGTAGTGTGTACTAGCTACAAGATGCACTGCAGAAATTTGCCAAAGATCCTTAGGCAGCACCTTCCAAATTCACGACCACTTCTATCTGGAAGGATAATGCATGGGAACACCACCACCTGCAAATTCCCCTCCAAGCCACTAATTATCCTGACTTGGAAATGTAGCACCATTCCTTCACCGTCACTGGGTCAAAATCCTGGAATTCTCTCATTAACAACATTTTGGTCTTCCTACAGCACATTGACTGCATCAGTTCAAGAAGGCAGCTCACTACCATCTTCTCAAGGGCAACTAGTAACAGGCAATAAATGCTGGGCCAGCCAGCAATGCCCATGTCCCACAAGAGAATTTAATAAAGGATGCTCTAACATGCTTTCCAGCCAAGAAAGAGCATTGAAAAATGTAGTCACTGTAATACTGTGAGAATCATGACAGCGACTTTGCTCAGAAACTAAGTTGTTTTAGTTGCATAGCTTGATGGATAAATATTGCGAACAATAAGCAGCATTTAAGAGGACATTTAGGGAGGTAACCTACCATTTAAATTTTAAAAAGTCATTTTTTTCTGTTATTTCATCACAAATAAATCTAAATTAAAAAATTGTACCACTAAACCCTACTAAACAGGTATTCTAATCTTAACTACTAGCTGGCATTTCCTTTATTTTACCAACAATTTTCTGACATACTTGTAATGATACTGACAGCACTACTGAACCAAGGTTTGGATGAGTTACAAACAAATGCTGAAACTAAATACAGATAAGTATTTTGAATTTATAATTTCATACCTGGCATATACAATATTAAAATTTTGTGGCACTATGGGTAGCGTCTCTACCTCTGAGCCAGAAGCTCGGGTTCAAGTCGAACCCCATGACCTGATGGCCATGGAACGTGGGTTCATATGCAGCCAAACAGATCAATTATCAATTTGCAAAACCGTCCATCATTTCAATGCCAGGCGGTAGGGGCAGATTCCTGGTCAGCCATACTGAATGTGGAGTGGCATCCCTCAAGATATAGCTTCTGGCTTCAACCTAATAACCTGTTCCTGGAAAATCTAGCTATAGAAAACAGATGTAAACATGTTTAGTCTGCCTAATGTGTCCCTAAATGCAAGAAATCTTTTAGATTTATGAGTTAATCTCTACAATGCAATTGAAGATGCAACACTGTTTGCAAGTCATTTGTGTTTCATTCTCCTGATTTCCTGATATCAAGAAGCATACAATAATCTGTTCCTGTCTCCAAGTTATTTGATATTCTCAGCAGTAAGGATGTTACAACTGAGCTCAATGTAAGAGAATTAATGTGTGCTCTTTTTATTCTGTTAAAGGCAGCAGAAATGAGGCTGATTATATCCAGGACAATTTCAGGAAAGAATTGAGACATATTGAGTTTAGAGAAAGAAAATCATTTCCTATCAAACGTTCGTGATGTTTGTAGCCAGCCGACGTTCATGGCGTAGTTTGCATCTGAAGAATGCCCAGTGGGGCGAGCTATTGATAAAATCACAGTCCCATACGAACCAACTCCATTAGGGAAGGAGTATCAAAAATTGGGGATAAAAATTGTGTTGATTAAAGACTTATAATGGATCATATTAAACTTTACGATTTTTCTAGTAGTGAGATTACTTTGAGCAGTTGTTATGACAAAGTACTGTTCTTGTATTTCTATTCTATTATTCAGAATATAGAGAACCAGAGGATGCAATGTGCTTGGATGTCCAAAAAGTGTGACATGAAAAATAATAAATAAGCTAATATTTCCTGCACTATGGGAGTCACTGGCAAGTTTGCAATCCCTTGAAAAAGTAGTGGTAAGCTGTCTTCTTGAACTGCAACAGCCCATGTGGTGTGGGTACATTCACAGTACTGTTAAAGAGTGAGTTTCTGGATATGTGATGTAGCAGTAATATAGTTCCAAGTCACGATGGTGTGTGACTTGAAAGAGAGCTTACAGGTAGCAGTTTCTCCACACATCTATTGCCCTTGTCCATTATTGTGATAGATGTCACAGGTTTGAAAGTTGCTGTCAAAGGAGCCTTGGTGAATTACTGCAGCATATCTTGAATATAATACCCACTGCTGCCTCTGTGATTGTAAATGATATGAATGTTTGGGTTGGTGGATAGGATGCAAGTCAAGTGAACTGCTTTGCCTTGGATGGTGTTGAGCTTCTGGAGTGTTGCTGGAGCTGCATTCATTCAGGCAAGTGTAGAGTATTCTACCACACCTGACTTGTGCCTTATAAATAGTGGACTGGCTTTGGGGAATCAGGAGCTGAGTTGCCGAATGCTCAGCCTTTGACTTGCATTTGTAGCCACAATACTCGTATGTCTGGTCCAGTTCAGGTTTTGGCCAATGATAACTCTCAGGAAGTTGATAATGGGGGATTCAGCAATAGTATTGTAATTAAATTGCAAGGTGAGATAGATTATCTCTTGTTACAGAGTTCATGTGACTTTGGGTGATATATTACAATTGAATTAAGGATTGATTAACAGTCAAAAACAAATTATGAAAAATGGGTAATTTTCAGATTAACAGGTTGTAAGTTATGAGGTATTGCAAAGATCAGTTCTTGGACCTCAACTATTTAGAAGCAATATGAATGACTTAAATGAGGGGGATCCTGTGATGTATCCAACTTGAGAGGCTGCAGAGATATAGGCTGTAGATTATCGACACAAATATGGCATATAGCGTTGTAGAAATATGAAGTTTTCATTTGAATCAAAAATAGCAGAATTCTTTGAAAGATGACAGACTGCGAAATATTGATATTCAGAAGGATTTGGGTGTCCTTCTAAGTGAATCATAAAGTTAACATACAGGTACACCTAGCACTTTGAAAGGTAATTTTGTGTTAGCATTCGTTACTAAGGGGTTGAAGAATAAGATTAAAGCAAGTGTTGCTTCATTTCTTTACCTGAAAGTGTCCCTTGTTGGAAAATCTGCTTTGTATTAACATTGGTGACAATTGGCTGAGTTCAGAGGCCAGGTAACCTTACACCCAATCAAACTTGAAGTGTGGTTGCTGAAGCAAGGTACCAGACAATTCATGATTGATTATAGCACTGCCTCCCAGCAAAAGATGTTAACAATGTCTTTATAATAATACTTGCTACTAGCTCAGTTTGACACTTAATAATGACTCCAGATTCTAAAGTTACATTGCAACAAATAAAATTTCAATATAAAATAGCTTCAATGTACATCCAAATGATGATGTAAATTTAAGAACTGTAGGCAACTACTTTAGAGAAATAAAGCCATTGTATGTAACCTATATAAACGATATAAATTGCATCAAAGTGTTTTGCAATTCCTACGTCAGGCATTATAACCTTATAAATTTTTCTCAGGCAGTCTCTTGAGTCTGAGGATGACTTTCTTTCACTCTAGAGCTGTGGGTCCTGAGGTGACTAATGTTCCAATGCTTTACTCACATGCCCTGCCACAGGAGGGGCAGGAGGAATTTAAAGGAGTACATGGGTAGGATGCTTGGGTTTAAACACGTTCTTCTTGCTGTTTGTGCTTGACCTCCATCTGAACCTATCAGAAACACTCAAAATAGTTGTTACCTTCATGGATGCTTCTTCTCCAAGATCCCAACCAGTTGGCACCCTCTGCTGTACTGGTAATTGCTTACTGCAATGGAACTCAGACAGCAGGGGTTACCTTTGGAGTTAACACAATTTGTCTTGAAGATGGCCACAATTGTAGCATTTCAGAGATCTTCAGGCATGCGCTCCTCCTTCCAGATGAGGGAGATGAGGTTATATATACATGCCAAGAGTGGTCCTTTGCTGTATTTTAGAATTGGCTGCAATTGGCCACCACTAGGAGGAGTATTGCAATCCATAAGCGAGAAAGGTGAAAGAGTTGCACTTGATTGAGTGTAACAAAAGCAAACACACCTTCCAAGCAGGAAAAGTAAACAGACCACAACAATTTCTCACATCAATATAAGTTCCAAGACAATTAAATTCCAATTAACAATAATAATCAGCCCATAAATTTCTTTGCAAATTGATGCTTTTGATGACTGTTAAATAGCCTGTTTGTTATACTGGTATAGCATTCTTTTTATTTGCTAGTGTGACTTCACAGGTGCAGTTGCACACAGGCAGATGGATCTTGGCAACCATCTCTGTATTGAGAAACATAGAAAATAAGAGCAGGAGTAGGCTATTCAGCTCTTTAAGCCTCTCTGCGATTCATTATGATAATGGTTGATCATCCTACTCAGTACCCTGTTCCCACTTTCACCCCATACATTTGATCCCTTTATTTGCAAGGACTATATCTATCTCCTTCTTGAAATTGCTCATTTTAGATTCAATTTCATTCTGTGGCAGAGAATTTCACAGTTCACCACTCTCTGAGTGAAGAAATTTCTGCACATCTCAATCCAACATAACCTACCCTGTATTCTTAGACTGTAACTCCAGGTTCTAGAGTCCCCAGTCATCTGAACATTCTTTCTGTGTTTATTCTGTCTACTCACTTTAGAATTTCATAGGTTTCTTTGAGGCTCCTCCTCATCCTTCTAAACTCCAGTGACTACAGTCCTGTGTCCATTCAAATGTCAATCCTGCCATGCCAGAAATCAGTCTAATAAACCTTTGTTGCACTCCCTCCGTAGCCAAAATATCCCTGCTCAGATAGGGAAGCCAAACTGCACACAATACTCCAGATGTAGTCCCACCAAGCCCCCGCCCCCAATTTCAGCAAGATATCCCTGCTTCTGTATCAAATCCTCTCGCTATGAAGGCCAACATACATTTGCCATCCATGGACTGTTGTGGTGCAGTGGTAGGGTGCCTGCCTCTGAGCCAGAAGGTCTGATTTCAAGTCCAACTGGCTTTAGAGTTGTGCAATAACATATCTGAACAGGTTGGTTAGGAAAATATCTACACAATGATCTGTGGTTAGTGTACGGGAGCTGGAACTTTGGATCACCCAGTTTACTACTTTGGCCAGTATTGTGTTTGTGCTGTCAGTCTTGTTGATAGATAGCTGTCAGATTCCTTTACAACCTTGTAATATGATAGGGTTGTGCTAAGATTGTGGCAGGTAGTATGCTTTGGGATGAGTTGGAGGCCATTCACCTTGAGGACTGAGACTGAAATGAGAAGAATCCTCAAAGGGCTCCTTCCAATGAGTGCTGACTGCTTTCCGATCTTAGCTGTAAGTGCTTGGGCCTCAGATGGTCTTGACTGTGCTGAAGAATCCATGAATGTCATAACTGTTGAGCATGGAGGGAGACAAATGCTGTTGCTGTTTTTTGCCTAACTCTAATGGTGAAACGCACTGGCTACGTTAGAAAAAAAATATAAATAGCAGTAAATCTACAGTACAATTTTTTTTACAATCCCAGAAATATATAAGATAGAAGAGGCCATTCAACGCCTTATACCTTTTCATTGAAGCAGCTAACCAAACTATTCCCCTGCTTTTCCTACATAACCCTGCCTAATGTTCTTTTTTAAATTTATTATTTATCCAATTACGTTTGAAGAGTACATCTGAATCTCCTTCCACTGATCTTCAGACAGTACATTGTTGGTATTTAATTGTTCATGTTTCACTACTTTTTGCCATTATGATCAGGCAGGATTGTAGCCAAGTCCAACTTAACCATCAAATTTGCATTTCTGTATTGGGTTAATCCACATGGCTTGTGAATGAAAACCTGAACATCAAAGCTCATGAAATGAAAGTGAGAATATGGGTGTTGTTAACATCATCATGTAAATATAACAGCATTGTCTTTTAATACATGCCAATCATTTCCAGTTGCCATATATCAACCAAGCAATCTTATAAACATTGTAAAAAGGGAAGAGTTATCTTTCGTAGGTTTTTCCGATGTTGATGACCTGATTTCTGCCCAAAGGTTTGAAACCAGGTTGCCAAGCACAGAAACTTCCCTCAACAATTACTCTCATATTGGCCCTTGATATATCTATTTAAACAGCTGTCCGTTCCAACTACTGGAGCAGATATGTTAAAGGTATTGATTGGTTAAACACAGCTCCATCCTTCAGTTAATCAATCCACCTTTCTTTTGGACTATGCCTTAACATGGTGTAAAGTCTGTTGTGTTCTGCTGACCATGTGCACTGTATTATCCTGCTGTGTATTGTTCTTCATTCTGATTGTCAATATTTCCTTACATAAAATGACTTAATGTGATTATCAGAACAACCAAAGATATTATGGTGGTCTGCTGTGTTGAGAAAGACTGCATCAGCCTGAGAATCTTCCCTGACTCTTCCTGTTACCTCCAAAGACTTACAACCCATTGGAGTTCTCTTCCAGCGATCTCTTTAAATTGTAGCATTTATATCATCGCTCCTAATTGTTTTTAACAAAATGAATCACTTCACACTTTACAGGACTGAATTTCTTCTTCATGTATCTTCCCATTTTATTCATGATTGATGTCCCCTGAAGACTAATACTTTCCTTCCCAGTGTTTCCTACATTTCCAGGGCTTGTAGTATCTGAATACATGAAGTTCTTTCCCTGCATATCCAAATCCGGGTAATTAAGACATAAAGAACACTGCTCCTAATACAAACATATATGAAAGATACCACTGCATACTTTCATCCAGTCTAATAAACAACCATTCCCCAGTATCATCTGCTTCATCTCTTAATCAACTTAATATTCAGTCACACTCCACTTATTATCATAAATTTGTTGGCAAAGTCAAAGCTCATTCTGTCATCTTACCAAATTCCTTTTAAACATCCAAATGCACATCAACTGTACTATTTTTATAAGCCTTCATTACTTTAGTGAAGAACTTCAAATTATTAAAGCTGATTTTGCTTATAACAAATCCTTGTTGGCTACAAATTGTGGTCTTTCAAGTAGCAATTAATGATTATAGTCTCTACAAGTTTCCTCAGGACTGATGCTGGTATTTTCCTCTCATCTTCTTACAACAGAGCTATTCTGAATTCCTCCAGTATCAACACTACTTTCATATCCACAGACCATTGAAAAATTGTGGGCAGACCCTCTGCTATCTTCATCCTGTCGCCCTGAACAACCTCACACATGTTCTACCAAAATCAGATGATATTCCTATTGAGTATCCTCAGCCTTTTTAAGAGCCTCCACTTTTTTTAAATCTTATCCAATATCTCTCCCTTTTTTCCTTTGACATAAACAGGATTTTTCCCATGTGAAGACAGATGCAAAATACTAATTTAGTATCTTACCATATATCACACCTCCACCAGATTTCCTTTTTAATCTTATTTAGATCCACCATTCCTTTGACTATCCCTTTTTTTTGTAAAAGACATAAGGTTTTTCTCTAAACTTTTCACTTTGTTCTCTTCACTTTTTCTGTTAACAGTATTAATAGGGTTTTTTGTTTTATTTTAATTACAATTTTTACATGATCCAACAAGGTCTAGCTTTGATGCAATTTTAAAATATGACTAGTCTGCACCTGAATTACCTCTTTGCTTGAAGGCTTCCAGTGTCTCATTTACTGATTTGCTGCTTAATCTTTGTTTCCAATCCATCTGGGCTGGATTCCTTTTCACAGTTTCTTCCACTTTTATATATAACCCTTTGATTGTTCTCTTTTCCATAACCACTCCAAACTCAATATTTTGTGATCACTGTTGCCAATTTGCTCCCCAACATAAACATGCTCCTTTGCATTTTGATGAAGAAAGTTCTCCTGTATGTATTTGAAGAATTGATCTCACTCCCTTCACCAAGTTCCCTAGTCTTTATAGCACTATTCCTTGTTTCTACATCTTAGAATCAGATTCATGCAGCACGGAAACATGTCCTTTGGCCCAACTTGCTCCTGCTGACAAGGTTTCTTAACCTGAACTAATCCCATTTGCCTGTGCTTAGCCCATATCCTTCTAAACCTTTCCTATCTATGTATCTGTCCAAATGTCTTTTAAATGTAATTGTACTCACCTCTACCACTTCCTCTGGTAGTTCGTTCCATATATACACCACCTTGTTGAAAACATTGTCTATCAGATCCCTTTTTGAATCTTTCCCTCTCACCTTAAATCAATTCCCTCTCGTTTTGGACTCCCCTACCCTGGGGGAAAGATCTTGGCAATTCATCTTATCTATACCCCTCATGATTTTATAAATCTCCGTGAGCTTCCTACACTCGAGGGAAAGAAGTCCTAGCCTATCCATACAATTCAAACTTTCCAGTCTTGATAACACCCTTTTATGCACCCTTTCCAGTTTAATAACATCCTTCCTATAGCAGAGCGACCAGAATTTTATACAGTACTCCAATGTGGCCTTACCAATGTCTTGTACAGCTGTAACATGACAACCCAACTCCAGTACTCAATGCTCTGACCAATGAAGGCAAGGGTGTCAAATGCCTTCTTCCCCACTCTATTCCTTGAAAGTAGCATAACGGGTAGACAATGTACATACACCCCTAGGTCTCTCTGTTCAACAAAACTCCCCTGGGACCTACCATTAACTGTCTAAGTCCTGTCCTGGTTTATCTTACCAAAATGCAACACCTCACATTTATCTGAATTAAACTCTATCTACCATTCCTCAGGCCACTGACTCAGTTGATCAAGATCCATTGTACTCTGAGATAACTTTCTTCACCGTCCACTATACCATCAATCTTGGTGAACTTACTAACCATGCCTGCTATATTCTCATCCAAATTGTTTCTATAAATGACAAACAACAGTAGATTCAGTACCAATCTTTGTGACACACCGCTGGTCACAGGCCTCTAGTCTGAAAAACAACCCTCTGTCTCCTATCTTTGAGCCAATTTTGTCTCTAATTGGCTAGCTCTCCTTGGATCCCATGTTATCTAAGCTTCCTCACCAATCTACCATGAAGAACTTTGTTGAACGTTTTGCTTAAGTCTATGTAGATAACATCTGCCATTCTGACTTCATCTATCTCTCAGTCATCTCTTCAAAAAAAACTCAAAACAAATTTGAGGCACAATTTCCCATGCACAAAGCTATGCTGATCATCCTTGAATAGTCCTTGCCTTTCCAAATGCATCTAGATCCTATCTCTCAGAATCCCCTCCAACAACATGCACACCATTGACATTAGGTTCACTGGTCTATAGTTCCTTGGCTTTCCTTGCAGCCTTTCCTATATAATGGCACAACATTAGTCATCCTCCAATCTTCCAGCACCTCACCCATGGCTGTTGATGATACAAATATCTCTGCTGAGGGCCCTACCATTTCTTCTCTTGCTTCCCAGAATGCCCTAGGGTATTTTTGATCAGGTCCTTCTTACTGAAACTTATGTGCAGGTTTCCTCCACCAAGCCTTTTCATTAAGTGATCGATGCAGTAAAATTGCTGACAAACATATTGCATGTTTTAAAAATAGTGATGCAGTAAATGTATGAATAGTGTCTTTATTTTCCAATTTGTTTACACCTTAACAGCCTTGTACAATGGAAGGCATTGCACAATGTTGGGAGTTAGCTTCGGAAAAATGCAGTAATCTTGGGAGGCAAGAACTTTAGCTTGATGCTTTTGAGGTTAGTGACGTAAGGGTGCGTGGCCCAATTGCCTATATTAATGATAATCTTGCTTTACTTCTGTTGATGCATTTTGTCCACTTCACTGCTCTGTATTTCAGAAACACTGAAGGCTGTGCAGGCGTGTTTGTAAATCACCTACCACAGTGTAGTGTTTGAACATGTGCAGAGCAACATAGCTTTTGGGCTTTCTGCTCACAAAAAGCAGCAGCTTTTCAGCACCACTCTTTTTGTTGCAGACCACAGCAGTTACAAATTCTTTACTTAACTTTCTACAATTACATGTTTCACCTTTAAATAATAGAGACCGATGTGGTAAAAGATAGTAAAACAGTCTAATTTTATCCCCGTTAAAAATGTCTCTTAGGGGCTACTCATTCAGGATATGAACAAGGCTATTTTTTAGCCAATCATACGTTATGTTGCCATAACTTGTAAACCCTCACTGCTTTCTACGTGGAACATGATGTTGTGCCTCATCTTGAACTGGTCTAGCCATCCATCATTGCAGGGGAGCTCTTTATGACTTAGCCTCTTTGGAAGCCTCTTGTAGGATTGGACCAGTGATGGGAACGTTCTGTGCTCAAGCTGCCTTAAATCATGTTAGCAAAACTTCTTCAATGTCTGGATGAGCAACTGTTTCCCATCCTCTTCCTTGCTGAAGAGGATGCCCACCTGGTCAAATTGTTCCAGGATTTTCTCCTTGTGCTTCAGAAGTGCTGAGAAACTTGATAGTGGAATCTCCCATTCCTTAGTGATATCAGTTTTTCACTTTGTATAATGTCTTTCCATTCGCTGTAATGACTTTGACCAGACATTTTACTTTCTTACATTTATCCATATTTACAGGCTTTCACAGAAAGATCTTGATGTCAAATGATGGGTTACCCACGATTTCATGTGTGGCCTAACCCTGCTCCAATTGGTTCGTATGATCACAGGATAAACTGGTGCGAGGTTGGCTAGTCCAAAGTTACAGGTCTGGAACTTTGATTTATCATGGGCATCAGTTTAATGGATTTCCTACTGTACAGGCAGGAATGCCTGACAATTTCAACACAACCAGAATTTCAGGTTATCAAATTTTACTCGCGTATTTTCCCGGCAGTGTAATTTCAAAAAGCAACAAAGTTCTGCTTCTGTTGTCAACTGTCATTCGTTTAGTCTAAATTGTAAACTATAAATAAGCAAGTATGTCTAGTGGACTTCTGGCAATTCAAAGAACAATTAAAGCACTCTATCTAGCTTCTCTTTGGAATTTCTTTATTTCTGTAGATGGCCTATTTGGAAGGTTACAACACATCCTATCAAATGAATAAAGTTATCAGTTTTAGATGACTTTTTAGAAACATGATGCTGGCATTTAAGACGGTCAGCTGAATCAATAAGATCAGAGCCACCAAGTCTTTGAGATTGAATAATTATTTAAAGCTCTGAACAATATTAAAAGAGCTTTGTGTTTTTTTGAAGAGGAGTTTTTTCTTTACAAAAATCATATTATGATATTTTCATGTCTTCTTCTATTGCTTGAGTCTCAATTTTGACTTTCTTTGCTGGTTTATAGCATCCCATTCCAGCTGCTCGTTCTGCTTCTTCCTGAGTGTATGGCTCTTCGCTTAATTGTTTTAGTCTAGAAAATACACAAGTCCACAAGATCAGTACGAGAATTCAACAAATGACTAAATGAATATATACTGTTGATTTCTGTTTTTTTTAAACAGGCCTTTTGTTCCAATTTAGATATCATGAATTAGGTGAAACTTATGCAGGCTAGCCCAATAGTTCAGCAGGTGATTCTGGTGATTAGCAGTGATAGACCTGGCTAGATCCCTGATCTTTGCTTAGGCACTGTAACAGGCTTCAGAAAAACCTAACTTTGGAAAAGGAGAACTGGTGCAACTTTCCCAGAACTACATAGTAGACTAATTAGCAAAGTTAGATTACATGGGATTCAGGGTGAACTTGCCAATTTGATATAAAATTGGCTTAAGGGCAGGAGTTAGAGCATGATGGTGGAGGGTTGTTTTCAGAATGGAGGCCTGTGACCAGCGGTGTTTCACAGGGACTGGTAGTGGGTCCACTTTTTTGTCATTTAAATGATTTAGATAGAAAGTATGGTTAGTAAGTTTGCGGATGACACCAAGATTGCTAGTATAGTGGACAGCGAAGAAGGTTATCTAAGATTACAAAGAGATCTTGATCAATTGGGCCAATGGTCTGAAGAATGATAAATGGAGTTTAATATGAACAAATGTGAGGTTTGCATGTTGGAAACAAAAACAAAGACAAGATTTATACTTTTAGAAGTAGGGCTTTGGGCAGTGTTGTAGAACAGAAAGACCTAGTGGTTCAGGTACATAATTCTTTGAAATTTGCATGACATATACATGGAGTGGTTATGAAGGCGTTTAGCATGCTTGCCTTTGTTGCTCAGTCCTTTGACTACAGGAGTTGGGACTTTATGTGGAGGGACAGGATGTTGGTTTGGCCTGTTCTGGAGTACTGTGTCCAGTTCTGGACTCCCTGTTATAGGAAGGATATTAATAAACTGGAGAGGGTTCAGAAGAGATTTACCACCATGTTGCTGGGAATGGAGGGTTTGAGTTATAAGGAGAGACCGGATAGGCTGGAACTTCTTTCACTGGAGCAGAGGAGTTTGACAGGTGACCTTATAAAAGTTAATAAAATAGTGAGGGGTATAGATAAGGGGAGGGATTTCAAGACTAAGGGCATTTTTTTTTTTAAGGTGAAAGGAGAAAGATTTAAAAAAGACATGAAGGCCAGTTTTTTTTTTAAACACAGCATGGTTGGAGTGTGGAATGAACTTCCAGAGGAAATGCTGCATTTGGGTACAGTTAATGTTTAAAATACATTTAGATAAATACATGAATAAGAAATGTTTGGAGAGATATGGGTCAAGTGCAGGCAGATGAGCATAGTTTGGTTTGGGATTACAGTTGGTGTGAACTGCTTGGATCAAAGAGTCTGTTTCGATTCTATATGACCCTATAACTGACCACTAATTAATACCTCTAAGGATCACATATTAGAAAAAGTCAAAATTGGACTGTGAATTAAAGCCTCCTACAGGTCAATAACATGCCAGTACTCTTGGACAAAGTTCCTACAAACCAGTGTTGCAGGGGTTTGTAATGTATAATTGGATCCCCCACCAAACAAAACAAAAGAAATGTAGCACATAGATTTGGGGTAGGGTACAAATTAACCAGGGCACTTACTGCTAAAAGTACCTACTGTCTCCTGTTGAGAAAGTGCATTTATAAAGCAAATAGATACAGAGTTATTCAGCCAGTACGTGATAATCCCATTATGCCAAGGTTTCCAATCTATCTTTGTGGATCAAGAATAGTCACCTGGACAGTTTGATGAGTGCTAATAACCTTCTGGCACTTTGTCCAGTTATAGTCACTGACTGTAATCAAAACTAAATGGAGTAACTGTATCGTATCCCCATCCTGCTGTTTGAAGATAGCTTACTGCTTTATTATTGAGATTAAGCTGTCTTCCCACTGGAGCACCACTACATATATTGTAAAAATTGCCAAAAATGTCTACCATTCACTATGTTGACTTTTATAATAAAAAAGCATTAATTAGTCCTGGATTGAATTTTATAACAATTGCCATTACCTTCGTTTGTGAACTTTTGTTTTAAAATGCTCTTTGAGACTTCTTTGATCAATGAAGTATCGCCTACAAGTAAAGCAAAAGAAAAAAGGTCACTAAAAAGAAAAGGACTGAAAGTCTTGTCTGGCTGCTCATCAAAACATATTAATGGTTTGCTAGGGCGGCGTTTATTGCCAAAACCCTAACTGTCCTTGAGATACTGATGGCAAGCCACCTTTTTGAATGTGGCGGAGAGGCTGCTAGACCATTTAAGAAGGCAGTTAAAAGCCATCTATGTTGTTGACACTCTGGAGTTACATATCAAACAATGGTTTAATAAATTGGCTCACCAGCACCTTCAACAATAATTCAGAATTAGCAAGAAATGGTGGCCTAGTCAGCAACACGCACATCCCCCGAAATAAAAAATTCTGAAAACATTTGGAAATGACTATTTATAACCCTTTTGTAGTGAATAACAGTTGCAAATTGTCAGAAGCACTTCCTCAATTAATCAATACCCCACTCCCTGTGTCTTTTTGGCCTCACGCATTGCAATTTTTTCGTAAACTCAAACCAGTTATGTTCCCAAAATTCCAAGCTATGAGCTACGGAGAAAGGGCTGATGAAGCTCCAAAATACAAAACATCAGTAGTGGCAAAGGTGTACAATATTCAATCAAATGCCAACAGGCAATAAATTAGATGCTCCTTCCCAAGAATATTAATTCATTCAAAAGATATCACATTTGTTCACTTACGCGCAGTGTAAGCAATAGAATTGTGCATTTCCTATGGCATCATAATCTATTTCCTGGTGCAATAATTTGTCTGCATTTTCAGGTTTCATATCTTCATGAATTTGGTCTAAATCTTTTGTTCGCCTTTTCGTTTTCCATTGTTTTGATACACTTTTCTTTTTGTCGCTGTTGTGATTGCGTATCCTCTTCGATCGAGTCATTTCCACCAATGATCTTGAAACAAAAAACAATAGAAATACCTGTTTAAACTTCAAATAATTCCCAACTTTAAAATTTTTAAACGTGGAGCACTATCTAAAGAGTTTGGAATATCTTCAACTGCAAATGTAAGCTGCATTAATGCATCATGTATTTCACCTTGCCACAGCTCAGGGGGAGGGAGAGTAGAGACAATGGAGAGGTGTGGAGGAAAATAGGGATGAAGAAAAATTCATAACTGTTTCTTGAATTAGAACATGATTAGTTAGACATGTTTCAAGATTTTGGATGTGAGCAGTTTTTGCTTCCTTACGGCAGAACAACATTCAAAATATAAACACATAACAATACTGATCACAACATTGCGAAAGAGACTACAGTAACACTTACGTAACGCCCTAAGAAAAGTTACAGTTTGTTTCACCACTGAGCTTAAAGCCTGGATTACTACATGAAACTACGATGTTGTAACCATTTCAGAAACTTTCCAAGGTTTAGAGGTTTCAGGCATGAGACAAAGGGATGTAAAATGAAGAAAGACAGTCTAAGCAACCCAAATTTAGGCAACTAGTACTTCCTTGGATGAAGACTGGGTAGTTCGGGCCATACAGCACTTGACACTGACCTAAGGTTTTGCCTGGAGCCTTTTGACTGAATCTAATTCAAGTGTTTTTACAGCAGCGTAAGCCACTGGCAAGATTTCTTTCCTATTTCTCTCCTGGCTGTTATTTATAAAGCCAAGGATCACGCACACTCAACCGACCCTTCCACTTTTAAAGATTTGCATTTCAGAATTTCAGTTCTTACGCTCCATATAAAATTCACTTCTTTTCTACATTATTTTTCAAGATTTCTCCATTAAATTTGACTTATCCGTCCAAGCCTCTCACGTGCTCAGTTCCACACGTATCTATGCCCCCTATTTGTGTAGGATCTGCAAACTTTGCTATTTGCATTTATAAGAAGCAATCTGGAAAACTTCCAACAACAGCTAGCCACTAATTATTGATCTTTTTAGATAACTACATATTCCGTTAAGAAATAAAACTATTAAGATGGATGCACCATCTGTAGTCAACTCAGGAAGTTAAGAATGTTCTCAAATTGAAAAAAAACGTACAACGTGATGATCATGAGTAGCAGACCAGATGTCGGGCAGATTTTAAAAACCAGTAAAGTATGATTGAAAAAAAGGAATAAATTACAATATGATAGAAAGCTAGCTACAAATATTAAAATAGAAAGTAAGAACGATAAAGTATTTAATATAGAAGAGTAACTAAAGTGAGCATTGCTTCCCTGCTGGAGAATAAATAATGGGAAACAAGGAAATGGTGAAAGCACTGAACACTTAGTGTGTCTGTCTTCATTGGGGAAGAGAAAAAAACTATAAAATCAAGGTAAAACAAAAGGAGAAACCTTAAAAACAACAGAGTAAGTAGGGACAAGGCAATGGGAAAATGGTCAACTAAAAGCTGACAAGTTCCCTGCGCCCATTGGCTTACATCGCAGAGATATAAAAGACATGGCTGCAGACATAGTAGATGCAAAACTTGTGAACTTATAAAAATTCTCTAGATTCGCCGAAAGCCATAGTGGACTAGTAAATTGCAAATATAACATCAGCGTTCAAGCAAACAGGGTGACAGAAAGCAAGAAGCTATAGGTGAATTTGCCTACATTAGTTAGAGAGAAAATATTAAAATCCATTACTGAGGAGGTAATTACATTATGATTTTAACAAAGTCCTGTTATCAGGAAGAGTCAACGTGGTTTTGTCAAAAGGAAATCATGTTTGACCAATTTATTATAGTTTAGTGACAAACAACGAAATGGAATCCGTAAATGCAGCATACTTGGATTTCCAAAAGGCATTCAAATAAGATGCCGTATGTAAGGTTGTGACTCAAGGCAGTTTGTGGTGTGAGGGTAATACTAGTAGCATGGATGAAGGATCAGAGAATTAAAAGGAAGCAGGGATTAAGATAAATGGGTCATCTTAAGGTTGGCAAACTGTAACCAGTAGAATGCCACAGAGATCAATGTAGAAATCTCAACCATTAACAATCCGTATCTATGACTTGGATGAAGGGACCAAATATACAGTTATGACATTTATGGTCAAGAGGATAAAAGGCCTATAAAACACATTTAGGTCGGTTAAACAAGCAACGTAGCCAGGCAGCTGCTGCCAAATTACTTCCGCGCGCTAGCTTCTGGTATCTGATGCTGGTATCTGAAGCCACTGTTATGCAGGGATTGCACATATGTACAGCAGAATAAATAGTTAGGGGGAACACGAAGTGTTATGACAGAAATTTGGCAAATGGTGTACAATGTAGAAAAATATGAACTTTTCCAATTTGGCTGCATTAGAAATTATAGATTTCATCATAGAATCCCTACAGTGTGGAAACAGGCCCTTCAGCCCAACAAGTCCACACCAAACCCCAGTACATACCACCCAGACCCATCCCCCTATAACCCACTGAATCTACACATCCCTCAACACTAGGGGCAATTTAGCATGGCTAATCCACCTAGCCCGCACATCTTTAGACTGTGGGAGGAAACTGGAGCACCTGGAGGAAACCCACGCAGACACGGGGAGAATGTGCAAACTCCACACAGAGAGTCGCCCGAGGGTGGAAGCGAACCCAGGTCCCTGGTGCTGTGAGGCAGCAGTGCTAACCACTGTGCCACCCATTTATATCATTTAAAATTGACAGAATCCGTATAGCTATACTATATAAAGTATCTTGCTACCCAGGTGTATGAATTACAAAATGCTATCATATAGACAAAAGAATTGATTAAAGTGGCAAATGAAATGTTTCCACGTATTGCAAGGGAAATGAAATAAAAGAGCAGGGACCATCACTACAGTTATACAGGTAAAATCATCATAGTCCTAGTAGACAATAGCAGTGGTGTCTCATTAGCGACAGATGGCTGGTGATGGTTTGACCCGAGGGTCCACTCCTATCTTCGATGTTTCAATGCCTTTCACCCACATTAGGACATAGAACACTACAGCACAGGAACAGATCATAGAATCCCTAGTGTGGAAACAGGCCATTTGGCTCAACAAGTCCACACCACCCCTCCAAACAGCATCCCACCCTGACTCATTCCCCTATCCCTGCATTTTGCCATGTCTAACCCAAACATCCCTGGACACTATGGGCAATTCAGCATGGCCAATCCACCTAGCCGGCACATCTTTGGACTGTGGGAGGAAACCGGAGCACCTGGAGGAAACCCATGCAGAGACAGGGAGAATGTGCAAACTCCACATTGACAGTCGCCCAAGGGTAGAATTGAACCCAGGTCCCTGGCGCTGTAAGGTAGCAGTGCTAACCACTGAGCCACCATGCCATCCTGTAATTTCCATCCCCGTCTTTCTGCTCACCTCAGGGGAGGGGAGAGGTTGAGAAGGTGGGTCCTTCGTGGTAACTTCAGCTACACCATAAATTGAACTCATGCTGTGTCACCCTGCATTGCAAACCAGCTGTCCAGCCAACAACTAACCAACCCCTTCTTACAGTTGTATAGGTCACTGACAAGACTACATCTGAAGTAAACAACACGGTTTTGGTCTCCTTCCTTAAGTAAGTAAATAATTGCATTAGAGGTAAATCAGAAAAGATTCACTCAATTGATTATTGGGACAAAGGGGTTAGCTTATTGAAAAAAAATTGAGCAAGTTGGACCTATATCCATTAGAGTCTAAAAGAATAAAGTAACCTTACTGAAAAATAAAAGATCCTGAGATTATTTGACAGGATAGATACTGCAAAGATACTGGGGGAGACTAGAACTAAGGGATGCGGTTTAAAAATCAGTAATACTTAAGGAGATTTTTTTTCTCCAGAGGGTTGTTCATCTCTGGAATTCACATACGAAGAGAGGACTAGAGGCTGAGTTGAGTAGCTGCTTGATCGATTCGAGGGTCAGGGTTGTGGGCAGACAAGTAAGTGGAGACCATAACCTCATCATCCATAATTTAAATGATTACAGAGCAGGCTCGTGACACTGAATAGCCTACTGCTGCTCCTAATTCTTGTGTTCTTGGCTGCTACCAGAATTTAAACAACGACTTTAAAACAACAGACCATTGGTTAAATATGACAATCATTGTCCGGATCTCTGAAATCTAGTAAGCAAAGATACGGGGGGGGGGTGGAAATCAACAACGTGCCACGTCCCACAGTCGAAGTAACCTTGCAGGTTGTAACAACAAAGGGAAAGAACAGGGAATACGATGCCCGATACCCCTGATTCTCCCCACCACCCAAATTTTACGAATTCTTTCCCTTCCTAGGCCTCACCCTGAATTTCACCGCCTCTCCAACCGGAAACAAGAGAAATTAGTTCCGGGATCGTCTGCTAACATCCACAAGAACTTCAAACGGTTGGTGTGGATCACGTGATGCCCCCCTCCCCCAAGGATGTTGCAATTTCATTGAATCGGGAGTCGCGGCGTCATGAAAGCAAACAAGCCCCAACCTCAAATTGCTCCTTTATACAGGGAGAGAACTAAACTCTATCGATTGCTATTCGGCGTACGTTTCAAATACTTTAATTCGGGAATCTTTAGCTTCAAGGAACTGCTTCCTCTGCAAAGCTAATATTTGCATTTATATATTTTTCTACTGTTCAGAGATGTTATTTACACACCTCTGGAACAGGGTCCTCACGTACCACCCCACCAACCTCCGGATCCAACGCATCATCCTCCGACACTTCCGCCATCTGCAATCCGAACCCACCACCAAAGACATCTTTCCCTCCCCACCCTTATCTGCTTTCCAGAGGGACAACTCTCTCCGTGACTCCCTTGTCCGCTCCACACTCCCCTCCAGCTCCACCACACCCGGCACTTTTCCCTGCAACCGCAGGAAATGCTACACCTGCCCCCATACCTCCTCCCTCACCCCCATCCCAGGCCCCAAGAAGACTTTCCACATCAAGCAGATGTTCACCTGCACATCTGCCAATGTGGTATACTGCATCCGCTGTACCTGGTGTGGCTTCCTCTACATTGGGGAAACCAAGCGGAGGCTTGGGGACCGCTTTGCAGAACACCTCCGCTTGGTTCGCAACAAACAACTGCACCTCCCAGTCGCGAACCATTTCAACTCCCCCTCCCATTCCTCAGACGACATGTCCATCCTTGGCCTCCTGCAGTGCCACAACGATGCCACCCGAAGGTTGCAGGAACAGCAACTCATATTCCGCTTGGGAACCCTGCAGCCCAATGGTATCAATGTGGATTTCACAAGTTTCAAAATCTCCCCTCCCCCTACCGCATCCCAAAACCAGTCCAGCTCATCCCTGCCTCCCTAACCTGTTCTTCCTCCCACCTATCCCCTCCTCCCACCTCAAGCTGCACCTCCATCTCCTACCGACCAACCTCATCCCGCCCCCTTGACCTGTCCGTCCTCCCTGGACTGACCTATCCCCTTCCTAACTCCCTACCTACACTCACCTTTACTGGCTCCATCCCCGCCTCTTCGACCTGTTTGTTTCCTCTCCTCTATCCCTCTTCTATCCGCCTCCCACTCTCTCCCTATTTATTTCGGAACCCCCTTCCCCTCCCCCTTTTCTGATGAAGGGTCTAGGCCCGAAACGTCAGCCTCTCTGCTCCTATGATGCTGCTTGGCCTGCTGTGTTCATCCAGCCCTGCACCTTGTTGTCTAAGACTTCAATGTAGGTCTCCAGATCCAGAGTTAGAGACACCAGCGCTGCATTACAGGAGCCCTCAAAATTTATTTTTATACAGTACCTCACACATCACTGGACCTCCCAAAGCAGTTTATAGCCAATGAAGTACTTTTGGGGTGTCGCGCCGCTGTAGGAAACGTTAACAGCCGATTTTTCCACATTAAACTTGTACAAACAGTTATGCACTAAAGATCAGACAGTTTGTGTGTGATATTGATTGAAGAATATATATTAACAGGGCATGAGGGAATAAGGCGACAACCATTCTTAGAAACTTTTCTTGTCTACTTCAAAACCCAAGAAAGCCTACAATGACTTTGGCTTAACATCTCATCTAAAATATGGCACCTCTAACAGAGAAGCTTGCCCAAACTGCACAGGCTTGGCAGCTTGTATCTTTGTACGCAGTCCTTTGTGTGACTTAAATACAATTAGCTGCCACAGAGAAGTGTGTTCCTAATTGAGCCAGTCTCTTAAAAATAATTAAAGATTTTACAAGTTTTTTTCACCAAAAACAAAAGTTGAAAACTGATGCAACAATTGGAACTCCATGCATTTTGGAGGCCACTCATATCGTTGGAAAAGGTGACCTTTGACTTATTTCTACCAAATAAAGTTTGCATTAACTGTATTTACATTGTTTCCTCTCTCTGGTACCAATTGTAAGTACTATGTGAATGCAATGTTACTTCTGTTTACGAATGCGTTTGTCAATCTTTTTCATTAATGTACTGATGATACAGTTTGATCAGGGGCAGCTCCGGTCTCAGATTTTATCACAGTGTCTCAGTGGTTTGTTAACACTTCAAAGCGACAACTTGTGAAAAAGCAAATGCCTTAATGTTGCTGTTGGAGCTTGTCATATCACAGAAAGTTTTAAAAACTAAAACGTTAGGCTTATTTAATTTTAAACAAAGGTGTTGCATTGACAACCTTCTAGTTTCAGAATGTGGTAAAATTAAATAACACAAATGAATATAACATAGTTAAACAGATACAACGATAGAACAAATAATTTTCAATGATTATTGGACAACTCTATGGCATTAACCTTGGTTCAGTGGGCGCATTTCTGTACTTAGATCCCGTTACAAAAACTTCAGCATAAAATGTAGGCTGGCAATTCAGTGCAATACTGCAGAAGTGATGGTTTGTTGAAAATGCTGTACTTGTGAGGAGTTGCTCACCTGAGACTCTGTAATCCTCTCTGTGAATGTAAAAAGAATGCAACTGCACCATTCATGTACAGATTACTGAATATCTCAGTTGGCTGTTGCGCTTCCTACATTATAATGGTGGTTACATTTTAGAAGTGCTAGAAAGTCTTTTGAGAAATATTGAGGTTGTAACAGGTGCTAAATTAATAAAAGTTCTTTCTTTTCTTTTGAAAGTCTCTGCTAGTTCTTTCCTAAATCTCTCTGTATGCTAGGATGCATGTCATTAAGATCCAATGCCGTTTTCACTGTAGGCTTTGCAGTTGTATCTCTTTAATTTTGCCATCACATACTCTTGTGGCTTTTCAGTCCCGTTATTACTCTTTTGTGAAGGCCATTCAAATGTTAGGCAATGACCAATTCCAACAGAAGACAAATTATCTCCGCTTCACATTCAATGGTCTTAATTTTGCTAAATCCCTTCCTATTAATAACCTGGGAGTTACCATTGAGCAGAAACTTAAATGGACTAACCGTACAATTTCTGTGGTGACAACAGCAAGTCAGAGGCTGGAAATTCTGAGGCAAGTAACTCACTCTCTGAATCCCCAAAGTGTTTCCATCATCCACAAAGCACAATATGCAGGATTGGATGGAATGCTCTCCACTTGTCTGAATGTGTGCAGTTCCAACCACACTCAATATGCTCAATTCTGAAATGGATAAAGCAGCCCAATTGATTGAAAACCCACCCACCTTCTTCAACATTCAGTACCTCCACCATGGACACACAACAGTAGCAGTGCGTACCATCTACTGCTGCAAAGTGCCAAGGCTCCATCAACCGCACCTTTCAAACCTGCAACTGCTACCATTTAGAAGACCAAGGGGTGCAGATTCATGGGAACATCATCACCTGCAAGTTTAACTCCAAGTTACAAATGATTCTGACTTGCAAATATATCACTGTTGCAGCCTCCGGGCTGCTAAAATACAGATAGATTGCTAACTTGACCAAACAGCAAGGGATAAGAAGGTGTAGAGCTGGATGAACACAGCAGGCCAAGCAGCATCAGAGGAGCAGGAAGGCTGATGTTTCAGGCCTAGACCCTCCTTCAGAAGAAGACCCTTCATTTCTGAAGAAGGGTCTAGGCCTGAAACATCAGCCTTCCTGCTCCTCTGATGCTGCTTGGCCTGCTGTTTTCATCCAGCTCTACACCTTGTTATCTCAGATTCTCCAGCATCTGCAGTTCCTACTATCTCTCAAACAGCAAGGGATGCTGGGTACATCAGAAATCACAAAATCCACACACCAGACACAGTGTAAACACAGCAGCCAGGTGCTAATGACATTAGCATAATGTAAAAGACAACAGTTGTATTCTACACAGACACCCCCAACAACTTATCTACTAATCAAAGGACAACCCAGACAGAAAGGCCCGGGTCCTGCTACACAAAGAAACTGACAGTAGCATACCATCTAAATGATTGACTCATGTTTAAAACTCTTAAGTATATCTCCATGATTGGCCAGAACTGTAGAAAGTTCCAGAAAACCATGTGTAAAAACAAAATTCACCTGCAAATCAGTTTTTTGGACCGCTGTCTTGGAATCACTCTTGGAATTGTCTGAGGTCTTCTGAGGAGACCAGCATGGCAAAAGGCAGAGACCAGCTGATCATCCAGAGACATCACAGAACCAGAGAAAGAGCCACAGTGAGAACGACTGCGCAAATTTACAAGAGACTCAGGAAGTATTGGAACTGTAAGGGGCCAAATAGGATTCAGGATAGTATGTTTAGTATTGAAGATTATTGTAATTTTTTTTCCTTATAACATGGGACTGTTTTGTATTGGTACCAGCTTGTGTTCATATTCGTTTGAACACTTTGGTACTGTGGGATACCTGGGCAAATTCATTCATAATGTTCTGGTTGGAGTTGTCTGCAACTTGTTTAAAGAGGGACCAGACAACATCACCATTCCTCAACTATATGTCAATCAAAATCCTGGATTTCCCTCCCTAAAAACACAATAGGTGTCCCTTCACCCCAAACACTGCAGCAGTTCAAGAAGGCAGCTTCAGTCACATCACCCTTTAATATTCCACTTGCTAATTATTATTCTGAAAAATCATTACTACATTTCGTTCAAAGCTGATACATCCAACCTGAGATGTAGTGCCCAGAACTGAACACAGATCCTCCAGATTTGATCGAACCAGATATTGTATAGCTGCAACACAACTTTCACGCCCCAGCTGTTCTGGTTCAATTGATATAAAAGGTCACATTCTGATAGGACTTCTGATAATTTTACGAACAAAGACCCCTCCAAGTGTCTTTGGACCTCCACTCTGTCTAGCTATTCACCACACTTTCAGCCCAGGAGAATTTTCTTTTAGTTTTTTTTATTCAAACAAATGGATGAGGGTGTTGCTGGCTGAGCCAGCGTTTATTGGTCATTC